AAGTGCTCCCTAAGAATAAAGCACAGAGTGTGCACATGTGCACACACACACAAATGCCCTCCGCCCCCATACCCCACACCACCAAAAAAGAGTCAGGAGGAACAAGAAACAGAATGCACACGTTCTTTAATTACCAGGAGGAAAACTCGCAGACATGTTCCACAGGGCAGGTTCTACGGCTCTCCCAGGACTTCTTAAGACCTAAATTCATTGTTGGGAGTTAGGCTTACAGGTGACTAGGTTTCCCCCTTCTTGGAGCCAGGGAGAGGAGGGTATAAACATAGTGGTAGCATGTTACCAACTTGCGAGTTCCTGCCAACCTCAGGGTAAGCTACATTGTAAATCCCTAGAAAATGTTAGTGATCATTGTTTGGTCTTTTTGAGACAGGGCCTCGCTATGCAGTTCAGGCTGGCCTTGAGCTCACTTTGGTCTTGTAGCCCACGTTGGTCTTGAACTCGCAGTGATCCTCCTGCCTCAGCCTCCTGAGTGATGGGATTACAGGCCTGCGGCACCGCATCCGGCAGTGATCATTGTTATGTGCATATATTACAAGGCCAGCTCTGAACTCACAGGTGCTCCTGTATTATTGCATTAAACAGCTATCTTTTGAGACTTTAACACTGCCTACTTGCTATTCCCTTTAATATCATAACCACTTCCAGAGCAGGTACCATGGTCTGGCAAGCTTTGCAGGCTTCACAATACTCTGTAGGGTTCTGTAACCCTTGACTCTCTTCTGAGATGGTACTGTTTTACTGTGTACTATAATTATTCATCTGAGTGTCTTGCCTGAACTGTGGGCCCAAGGGCAGAGAGTGAACTTTCTGTGCCCAGAAAGAGGAACAAGTGTGCCTACTTAGCTCTCCTTAAGGCCTTAGCACCCGCTATTCTTTACCCAGTGCTCTCTTCCCAGCTCGGGTATCAGCTATCACCTCTGCAGAAGGCACTCTTGATCACTTAGCTATTGTCTTCACTCCAGTCTGTCACATTAGTTTATTTCATAGCACTGCCAGTATGTGAAACAGTCTTACTGGCTTGTTTTTTCCACAAGAATATAAACTACAGAATAAAAAGTTAAAAAAAATGAATGTAAACTACAGGCCTTATTTGTCCTTTTTATAGGTGTGTTATCCAGTTTTCTTAAACTGTATTTGGTATTTAAAAGGTGCTCATCAAATATGAATGACCGATAAATAAATGTTAAATCAAATGGGGGAGTGCCATTAGTACTTGTCCAAGACTGAACAAAAGTCAGTGTTGTGGAGAATGCAAAAAACAGCACATATGGCTCTAGTTTCCACACTGATTGGAGAAGAAATAAGTGCCAGTATAAATATCCTGAAAATAAGATGAGGCAAACTGTCAGGGGTGCTGGAGCACCAGCACTGGGGAGGCTGAGGAAGGACTGCCACAAGTTCGAGGCCAGTGGGGGCTACACATAGTGAGTGCAAGGCAGCCTGAACTACATAGTGAGACCCTACATAGTCTCAAAAAGCAAAATACAAAGACAAGGAAAACTGTGACCAGGTGCTAGGTGTGAGGCTCAGAATCAGAAGTAAGAGAAACAGGTGGCTGAAACAGCTTGACAGCAGGGATCACATTCTACTTATGCTATGGCCAGCACCCACCCAGTGGCAGTGGAGGTATTCTGTGAGCAACTGCTGAACTTCACTGAGAATACAGCACACCAATGGAATGCCAGGGAATTACACGAGTACAGAGACTGTGTGTATAACTTGGTGTCTTCATTTGCAAATATTTTATTCAACAAATTCCCAATCTATGTGTGTTAAGAGATCCTTCTGGTCTGGCCATATAGCTCAGTGGTAGAAGACTTGCCTGGCACAAGACCCTGGTTTTGATTCCCAGTACTACAGTTAAAAAAAAAAAAAGTGGAAGAGAGGGAGAGATTCTCTATCAAAAAGGGCTGAAGATATAGCTCCGCTGTAGAGCACTTACCTAGCATGTATAAGGTCCTGGGCTCAATCCTGAGTACACGAAAAAGAAAAAAAAAGGTACACACACATGCACACCAAATAATATTTTGGCTATAATTCACACAATTTATTTATTCAACAACTGAGTATCTTCTATGGTCCATGCTATGCCCCTGGTGCTGAACACAGATAAATTCTGGCCTGCAAGGAGCTCACAGTCTCACAGGGAAAAGACAAAAATAAATAATGTAACTAGAGTTTGCAAAGGGAACTACTATGAAAGACAAGGAGCAGGGGAACCCACATCCTCTGATCAACATCTATAGGAAGAAAGCATTGGCTGACATTTTCATAAAGAATAAATAAGGCAATGTTTCTCAAAGTACAACTTGCTGCTGTGGATTTAGCTCAGTAGCACAGCGCCTGCCTGGCAAGCGTGAGGTTCTGAGTTTGATTCCCGGTACTAATATTAAAAAAAAAAAAAAAAAAAGCATAACTTGCTAATTACTTACATCAGAATCATATGGAGCACATATTAAAGTATACATCCCAGCACTTTTATGCAAATATTCTAATTCAGAAAGGTATGGGTCTGGGAATCTACATTTTAAAGTACTCTGATTCCACTGCATCTCTTTTTTCATTACCAACCTTTTATTTATTTTTTGTTAATCAAGTTTATTGGTACATGTTAGGTATACACAATGATCACATTCATCATAGTCCACTGCATCTTAATGTTTAAGAACTGGTGAGATGTGGTGTAAAGTAGAATGAATAATGATCTACACATCTGTTATGCTAATCTGTACTGGTCTTTAGTAAGTGCAGGGGGAGTAGAGGAAAGGAAAGGGGCTGACATTTATTAACTTATCCTACAGTCTCTATATAAGTTAACATCTCATAATAATCCTATGAGGTAGATATTATAATCTCCATTTTACAGAGGGAAAAATAGAGAGTTTAAATAACTTGTTCAACATTATAGAGCTAAACATTATAGAGCTAATGAGTAGCAACACTAACATTTGAACCCAGATTCATTTAACTATAAAGCCTGCCAACTTCCTATGGGGATATCAGGGGACAGAGTAAATATAATTTTCTTTTAGTTCTTTGCTAGCTCTCTCTAGATAAATATAAAGAACAGCCAGATGATACTATAGTCATACCCAACATAATTAATTACCCATGGATATGATACATTCTTCTTTGGTAAGCTGGGATTGAGGGCAAAGCCGGAACTATAAAACAAGTGGCCACTTCTTACTTCTTTTTCCATCATTTTCTCAGCCTGTGGTAGAGGTGTTATGAAAATATCCTACTGTTAAGAACTGGGCCCATCTGGAGGGAAGCACAAACATAACTGGATACTGATGAATGCAAGCCCAACTGCTGTCTATGATTTCTGGGCTGCAAAGCATCAGGAAAGTCAAAAGGCATTCAAGGAAAATGGCAGAGCTGATAACACTCAAGTTTCTCAAAAGATGAACTGTCAGAATGAGTGGCAGATCCAGAACTTGCATTAGGAAAAGCTCAACCTTTTGGGAAATTATGAAAGGGGTGGCAGCTTCTCCAAAGGACACAAATACTATCTACCTCTCTATACACTGACTCAGACATACAACAGAAATAGACTGCTCAGAAAATACTGGGAAGTCCAATCCTATTTAAAAAGCTTGGGAAGCTGGGCATGGGGATGTATGCCTGTAATCCCAGCATTTGGGCTGAGGCAGGAAGATTACCATGAGTTTAACATCCCCCTGAACTACATAGGGAGACCTTGTCTCCAAAAAAAAAAAGCTTGGAGGACAGGCCCAACGTATTTATTTATTTATTTTTTTGTCTTTTTGAGACAGGGTCTTGCTATGCAGTTCAGGCCGGCCTTGAGCTCACTTTATAGCCCAGGCTGGTCTCCAACTTACAATGATCCTCCTGCCTCAGCCTCCTAAATGCTGGGATTATAGTCATGAGCCACCACACCTGGCCCAATTTATAAAAAGACTTATATAATAAAGAAAATATACACACACATGTGTGCATGTGCATGTAGACAAATGTACAGACCAAATGCTGCTTAAATTTCTACTCACCATACTTTGCCATCCGACCAGATCTTAGGTAGGGGCCACAGATAAATGTACATGTTAGATTAAGAAAAGGAAAGGCGTAGTATAGGTGGCTGAAAACAATATTGGGGATGCTTGGGGCCTCAAGTTCAGAAGGCAGGTATGTAACCACCATCCTCTCCTATCACTGAGCTGGGGCTACTACAACCCACACATGGGCTTTTAGTGCTACAGAACAACTTTTCTTATTCTTGGTGTCTCAAGAAATTGCTGTGTTCCAAGATGAGTTTGATAAAATCAGCCCATAGCACCAAAACTATGGACAGTACATAGCTTAGATTTCACTATTTTGTATAACAAAGGCTATAAGCCAGATTTTAGTTTATTGCTACATTTTCCCCACAATCTGAGAATATGTACTCCCAGTTACTTTTTCATATAATGCTTAGGGTTGGTTTAAAAAAATCATGCAAATCTGAAATGTTCTTTTCCTTAGAAAAATGTTTTACTTACAGTGTACTGATTTACTTCCTCCAAACACATAGCCTCTAACAGGCAGAGTTAGAGGAGTACATGCCATAATCTATAGTCTAACAATATTTAGGCACTGTACCTGTTAATACAACTATATCCGACATTTGTGGACACCCCAAACCAGCTGCACTAAAGATAATAACTATGGGGGGGGGGCGCATCTAGATGAAGTCTTTATCCTGATGGGAATATCTTCTTGTTTTAAAGTCTAAACAGGATATTGGGATTATGCCTTTGGCCAGCTCATTGGCATATGGGAAGATTACATAAAGCCCACATCTAACTATGGCAGGTCTTCAAACTTATCCTGTTTCGAGTTCATAAAGATGTAGAACTGGAAGCTATGAAGTCACAATAGCTAAAATGCAACTGCACTGTTATATTATATAAAGTCAAATGAACTATCGTGCAGATCCCTGGCTGTCCCTTGACCAGAAACATTTAAAAGGAAACCTCAAGTATGCTGCGAGGTAATTATTAGAATATGTGGGTACCTTTATTCCTGAATGTCAAGTATTAAGGCTCATCTCCATGATCACTTCTTGCAGTAAACACGTAGGGCAACTCTTTACAGACTGCTTATTACAGGTGCTGAGCTCTTGAGTTCGGGGTGGGGGTGGTGGTTTTCCTACACCAGCCAGGGCAGAGCTGACTCTGTGAAGGGCCAGCCTGTATAGCTCTAAGTCTTATCCTGGTTCTGGGTACATTTCAGTTCTGCTCCAAGTCCACTTTGCTCCAATTCAGCGATGACAGACATATATTTGAACTCATTTGGTCTGAAGTTAAATGTCTCCACTAACCCATAGGTCTCTTTACGATCAGTGGCATAGAAGAGCTGAACTTGATTGGCGATGCACTGTGCCTCAGTAACATTCTGCAAGATAAAAAGAGTGCTGAGGTTTCTTCCGGCACAGGACCATGAAGTTCTGAACCTGAGTTCTGTGGTGGGTGCCTCATCCAGGAATCACTGCTTCTGAGAGCTTCCCTGACCGCCTGGCCTCCTGAGGCTTGCCCCTTCTCCTTGTTTATCACAGTCACAGGATTATTACACTTGTCTTGTATGTGTCCTTTTCCCCCTAATACACATTCCTCAAAGACATAAATCGTGGCTTGTTTTATGGCCCTACGTGCACACATCTGGTTAATATTTGAATAAATTAATGCATATGTTCATAATTTCCCTCTTTACTTAATTCCTAAATAACAAATGTATCTCCTGAGGAAAAAAAAGAACAAGAGTTTCCCAGCTCTAAGAAGTAGTTTATGGGTACTAAGTTATTGACTAACCAGACACACACCTGAATGAAACCTTTACTGACCTCACCAGTCAGAAAAACAGTGCCAGAGCCAGCTGTGATGATTTTAGGATCTGTCTACAAATTTTATGATATTCCTTCTTTTGGTGAAGCCTAAGTTCCCTTTCCTTGAATAAGGCTGTACTTAGTGACTTGCTTCTGACAAAAGACTATGATGACATGATAGTGGGGCTGGGGATTTAGCTCAGCGGCAAAAGCGCCTGCCTGGCAAGCACAAGGTCGTGAGTTTGGTTCCTGGTACCGGAGAAAAACCCCCCCAAAAAAAAAGACATGATAGAGAAGGACTCCTGTTACTAACACACATTAAGAGACTGTAGCTTCTGTCTTAAATCACTTGCTCTGGTGAAAGCCAGCTGCCTTATCATTAGGACATTCAAGTAGTCCTATAGAGAAGCCAATGCGCTGAGGAATAAGGGCTCCGCCAATAATCATGTGTATGGGGCCGAAATGGATCCTCAACTCCAAGCAGCCTTCAGATGACAACAGCCCTAGCCAGTATCTTGTCTGTAGCCTCATGAGACTGTGCCTGGCTAAGCGGCTCCTGAGTTCCTGTCCCACAGAAACTGGGAGGTAACAAATGTTTGTTGTATTAAGCCACTAAGTTTCGGAGTAATTTGTTTTGCAGCCATTTATAACTAATCCATCAGCAAAGCCCTAGGAAGAGAAAGGGCCATGTCTCTAAAGTGCAGTGCACAGAAATGGTGAGCAGATAATACCTGACGAGGGGTGGGGTAAGGTTGGGGAGACACAGGCTATACACTCAAAACTTCACCAAAGAATTACCTCAGCTCTGACTTGTTCCCTACACAGTTTGCAGTTCTGGCTGGCCAGAGGCATTTATCCATCATCACTCAGTTCACATGGCTAAAATCAAACCCCAAAAGATAATGGAAAATTCTCACTAAAAATTGATTGCTCAAAGTGTGCTTTAGCTACAGGATGACAAAGATGAGTTTATAAACACTACTGGCCATGCTTCACCTTTATTCCCTTCATGGGACTTTCAGATCATTTCTCAAAAGCAGACAATCATCTCTCAGACTGGGTGTTCCACTAGAAGCAGCCCCCTCCAAATGTGGCTATTTCAAATTAATAGAAACTTAGAGTTGGAAGGAGTCTTAGAAATCACCTTGTTCTCATTTAATTGTGCAGGAAACCAATGCAGACGAGCTTAAAGAATGGGTCCAAGCTCATGTGGTTATCCGGTGGCAGACCTCAAGATTTCCAAGCTGGGACTCTTTCCACTTCATTCTGCTACTGTTTCTGATAATTAAGACTGACTGAAGCTGGTAACTCTACTTCAGCAATTGTTCTTTCTTAAACTCAAACATGCCTCAAGAACAAGATCTTCCTAAAGCAAGTGTACTTCTACAATTGGAGGCAGATACTACCACTCTGAGGCTGAAGCTGATAAATGAGACTGAAATGAGAAAGGACAAATAGATTGCACAGCAATCATAAAACTGCCGCTGGTACCTGGAGAGAACACAACAGGCATCATTAGCTACGGGCATATAGTTGTGGTTCTATCTTAGTGAAATTCGACTGGGAATGGGAAAGGAGGAAATCACTATGTATGGTGAAGGTTTCACACGTGGACAGTGTGGAGAAAGGTAAAAGACAAAGAACTACCTTACATTTAGGAAGTCACTTATTTGTCCACAATCTCTTACCTGAAATTCCTTAGGGCCATATATGTGTTGGATTTACAATGATTGGATTTTAAAAAAGGTAATAGATTCAGATAATATATTGTGTATTATATAACTCCTCATATTCAAACATACTAATATTTCACTAATAAAACACAATATTCTATACCAAGTGAAATTTAATAAAGACTATAAATGGCCTCATGTCAGTTTAAGTAGACATTTAGCTCCCAAATGAGTTCAAATCATGTAAGATTTTGTGACTAAATGGGTAATAAACAACTATTTTCAGAGTTCGTAGATTTCAGAATTGTGAATAAGTGATTAAGGATCTGTATTAAAATCAGCTTGGGAGAGCATGAAGGAGACAAAATTATGCCAACTTTATTTTATAAATAAAAAAAGTTCATGTAAGTCTCTGGAATTTTACCTCTCATGATCTTTGACAGAAGTGCCACACTTTCAGGGTCACTAGGTAAATCCAAACAGGTAAAGGGTTCTTACCAGAAATGTGGAATCCATTTCTGCTGTCATCAGCACTATTCCCTTTTCTTCCTTAAGTTCAGGGTAGTGATATAAAATCAACTGGCTGGCTGCAGCGTCCCCTCGGGTCTGCAGGAGAAACACTTACTAAGGCTCAATAAGGTACCATGACAACAAACAACAATTTCAAAGCAATAGAGAGTCTGGAGGAAATTCTGGCTCTTGATACCCTCTTGGGTGGCCAGTGAGCTTGAGGACAGGTATGTGGGGGCAAGGTCGGACCTGCAAAGGCAGGGTGAAACTGACAGTTTGCATGGTGTTATTTGTGTCTTCAGTTGGAAAAGGTTTGGCTTTTTTCCCAGAAAATGTTTATAGAAGGCAGTGAATCCTTCACAGCAGCCATACATTTAAAAATAAAATGGCACAAGCAGCTACCAAATCAAGTGCTAAAGAAAGCAATGTCCCTGTGTAATTGCCACTTTTATGGACTAGTGCATTTCATAGCTGAAATCTACTCCCCTTGGCTGGCTCTGAGACTGAGCTCTTTTAAGCTGTAGTAAGAGCTGGAGAGTTTGTGCATGGGTCAGATATGTAGTCTGTGGTTTTAAAATATAATTTGTTTGGGGTGGGAAAGGAGAAAAGAATGGGGACATCATAATTTCATGAAGAACGATGAGGGCAGTGGTTACTAGACCTCAAGTGTAGATTAGGAAACAAGGGTAAATTCAAGAGCAAACCTTCATGCCTCATCTTGTGTAGAAGGAAAGTACTTTCAAAATAAGATCCCTGAGCCTCACCTCTAAAATTTCATAACCCTTTTAATTAATGTATCTAACTTTTGCTAAGGTATTCTTCAGTCTCTTTGTTCTCTCAAACAGACTTCTAGTATTTTACTGATCATTTTGGTCATATTCTACTGTTATATACTAATCACTTGAATCATAATTATGTTTCTGGATCTCTCTCTCTTGCATTCTCTCTCTCTTGCACTTGGGAATAAGCTTCACGAAGGCAAGGACTTTGTCTCAGATCTCCAGGTCTTAGCATGGCTCTCAAAACAATGATATTTTGGTTAAGGTCGTATACTTTGGGGTTAGACAACTTGGACTCAAACCCAGCTCTATCACTTAGCAATGTGAACTAATTCTCCAACCTCATATTCTTCTTTGTAGATAGAAATAACAATAATCATTTAATGGTATTCTTTGAGAATTAAATGACACAATGCATAAAAACATCTCGTCCATAGTAAGTACATATAGTGTTAGTTATTATAGTATGTGCTCAATAAATTCTTCTTGGATGAATTATTAAAAAATTGTGAAAAGTTGTTCCCTCATTCCATTTTGTATTTTATCCCAACTTTTTTTTTTTTTTTTGAGACAGGGTCTTATTATGTAGACCAGGCTGCCTTTGAACTTGTGGCTATCCTCCTGTCTCAGCTTCCCGAGTGCTGGGGTTATGGGCCTGTGCCACCACACCTGGCTACTTTACCTCAATTTTAAAGCCAATCTGAATCTCTGTTTTTGCCAAATGCAGCCTTTAACTACAGAACATCAATCTTTGTTATTATTTAAAATACTTTTATTTTAAAAGTTTCAAATGCTTAGAACCTAACTTTTAAATCTAATCTATAGGAATTAAGCAAAGAGAAAAAGGAGTCAAATAAAGTAACATTAAGTGGAAACTTCACTTAGCACCTTGGAAATGCTGACTTGGTTAATAAAACGCAGGTAAGACATGGAGTCTTCTTCAACAGGCTTACAGCTTGGGTTAAAAAGATAACACCCTGACTTAGTCATGTTTGTTAAGTGAGGCACATACAATAAATGTTATTGAGGTCTGAGGAAGAGACAACAGAGAGCCAGATGTGATGAGATAAAGTGTTCTGGGGTCTTTTCTCATTTCTTGTTACCCAAGAAAAACTAGTGCAACATGCAAAGTATGAAAATCCATCAGTGCCCCAGCAAGTAGTGCTAGGAATTAGTAGATATTCTGTACGCCCAAGTCTTAGCAAGCACACTTAGTCCCACCAAATGATAGGCCTCTTTCCTCTATCCCTGCGCTTGGTAGGACACAAAACACGTACCTGAATATTTATAAGTGCAGTGAAGTGAAGTTCAGTACCTGTCCATTGTCCAACAAAGAACTCATAGCCTTCCCTTCTTGGCAGTGCACACAGAAACTGTGGGATACAGATACATAAGGCACAGAAAAGTCAATAAAGTCATGTGCTCTATGTCCAACCACCTGTACTTCTCACTTCATTTTTTCAATGCTTGGTTTTAAAAATAATTATGAAATTAATATATAATAAACACTCATGCACCCACCTAAAAAGGAAATCATTAGAGGTCAATTTGAAGATCTCTCTGTACCCCACTCTAACCCCATTAGAGGTTAACATCTATCCTGATTTCGTATCTCTCATTTCTTTCCATGTTTAATACTTTTAATGCACACATATATTTGCCTTCTCATTATGACGAATGAGTTCAAGTGTTTAGGTGTCATTTCACTCCTTTGGAGAACTATCCCTCTTTTTCTTTTTTTTTTTTTTAAATATTGTCTTATTATGTTGCGCAGGCTGGCTTCAAACTCAAAGTCCTGTTGCAGTCCTGGGATTATAAGTATATAAGTATATACCACTGTGCTTGGCTTTGGTGAACTATCTAGTCAAAATTCTTCATTTTGAAATTGCATTGTCTGTTTTTTTGAATTATTGGGTTATAGGAATTTTAAATATAATGGGTTACTTCCACATTTTGGCCATTGGGACTTATGTTGCAAGGAACATGAGTGTACAAATAAAACGTTTTACTTTTAATGAAATCTAAGTTAATAATTTTTTTTATAGTTTGTGCTTCTTGTGACATACTTAAGAAATCTTTGTCAAACTGATCTTCAATAAGATTACCTCTTTTATTTCTTTCTATTAGTTCCATTTATGTCTTTGATCTACTTTGAGTTAAATTTTGTATAGAGTGTAAGGTTAAGGGTAGAGGTTAATTTGTATGCACATGTTTTTATATTTGTTTTAGCACAATTTACTGTACAGATCATCTTTTCCTTATTTAATGATGCTGGCACCTTAGTTGAAGACAACTAACCACAGCTAAGTCGGTCTGTTCCTAGACTATACCCTTCCACTGATCTATGTGCCTGTCTTTACTACGATAATACAATGATTTCATTCATGCAAATCAAAAGCCTATTGGGATTTTGATTGGGATTGTATTTAACCTAGAGATCAATTTGGGGAAAACTGACATCTTAACAATATTAAGTCATCTAATTCATGAACAATGTATACCTCCCATTTACTTAGGTATTTTTTATTTTCTGTCAGCAGTGTTTGGAAAATTTTTTTGAAAAAACTAGAAATCATGGTCAATACCAACTCAGTTGTCAAGTCAGCTATCCATTCCCTTTTCTTGGGGCCTTCCGTCAGCTCTTTACTCAAGCAATAACAACCTCAGAATTGTTTTTAGGCACATAATGGCAAGACAGCATAGCCAAAACAGCAAGGAAAACTGTCAATAGAACAGAACTTAGAGGAGGTTGTAAAGATTAAGGTCTCAGATGTCTTCTAATATGTACCTACACTGATGGGTGAAGGCCCACATTCAGTAAGGCTAAAAATGTGGTAGAGACCCAAAAAGGCAAAGGTCATGAGGTCAAACCCATATGATCTTACAGGTTGAAAATATCATTTATTAGTACATTAAAACGTAAGCCTCTTTGTTAAATGAACATGTAAGACAGCATGGACTACAGGAGGTGAGCTGGAAAGCACCCTTGCTTGGCAGCACTGACAAACAGTCTCTACACAGTCACCAGGAACTTACTGTTGGACAGGACTGAGCCCGGTTCCAGATCAAATCAAACTTCTCCTTCTGTGAGTTGGAAAAGAGTAAAATTAATTCATAAACAGGAAAATACAAGAGATCACAATCACAATTAAGTTCATAAAGACTAAATTCTAGAATTACACTACAACCAACCAATCCTCTTCTATTTAAATTGCTCTTATGACAGAGAGACAGAAAAAGCCAGATGTATGTTTTGGTGTTCGCTCTTAGAATTATATGTGAAGATTAGGTGGTCAAATGCTATAAACACTCCAGGGAACTCACTAACTCAATTCAAAGGAGAGCTGAGGTCTGTTCAAATGAGTTGGTGTAAAAGAGCTAAAATATGATGAAAATACACACTGCTCTGGTTTTTAAGATTTTTTAAAATTTTAAACAGAGAAAAAAATAATAAAAACGATACAGAATTTCAAAATAAGATAGGAAATTAGCAATGGCTATTATATTGTATATTATTATCTTCAAAGTAGCTGCTAAGATTACCAGATACAGGCATGCAAAACTGATCAAACAATGTAAGTGCTAACTGTCCCTTTTAATGAACTAACAGAAATTAGTAGTATAATTACCTTAGCTATTTTGTGTATATATACATATCTTTTGTCTCCTTTCTTCTTTTCTCTTTTTTCCCATCCCAGCTGTTCCTTCCTTTTGAACAGTTTCTTTCCCTTTCACCATATCTATTGTACCTTTTGGATCTTATTTACTCTTTCAGTTTCTTATACTAGGGAGACAATACGATGTTTACACATGCGTGTCTGGTTTATTTCACTTATGAGTATGGTCTCTAGTGATATCCATTTACCTATAAAAGCCTCAAATTTATCTTTCTTTACAGCTGAGTAGTACTCCACTGTAAAAAAGTACCACATCTTCTTTATCCACCCCTTGGCTGATGGTCATTTGGGTTGTTTCCAAGATTTAGCTATTACAAATTGTGCTGCTATAAACATGGGTGCACATATATCGCTGTGTTGTTTTCAGTTCTTCTGGAAAAATATCCAGGAGAGGAATAGCTGGGTTGAATGGAACCTCTAATACTAGTTTTTTGAGGAATTGTCACACTGATTTCAACAGTGGTTGCACCAGTCTACACTCCCACCAGCAGTGGAGAAGGGTTCCTTTTTCCACACAGCCCCACCAGCATTTGTTATTGGTTCATTTTTTGATGATAGCCATTCTTTCTGGGATGAGATGGAATCTCAGTGTTGTTTTAGCATTGCTTGAATGACCAATGATGTTGAACATTGTTTCATGTATTTATTTATTCGCCATTTGTATTTCTTCATTTGGGAAGTGTATATTCAGCTCAGATGCCTATTTTTGGATGGGGTCTTTGAATTTTTGGTGCCTGATTTTTTAAAATTCTTTTTATGTTCTAGATAGAAATCTTTTGTCTGAGGGACAACTGGCTAAATTTTTTCCCAATTTGTGGGTTTTCTTTTCACTCTGTTGGTGATTTCTTTTGATGTGCCAAAGCTGATGAGATCTCAGCTGTTGATTCTTTGGAGTATTTCCCATGCAATTTGGTTTTTGATCATGAACTCTCTGCCTACCCCTATGTCTTCAAGATTTCTACCTACTTTCTCTTCCAGTAGATTTAGTGTTTCTGTTTTAATATTTAGATCTTTAATCCATTTTGACTTTAGTTTAGTGCATGGTGATAGACGTGGGTCTAGTTTTAGTTTTTGGCATGTAGAAAGCCAGTTATTCCAGCACCATTTATTAAAGAGGCTATCTTTGTTCCAGTGAACATGTTTGACCCCTTTGTCAAAGGTAATGTGACTGAGAGTGTTTATAGTTATGTCTGCATCTTCCAATCTGTTCCACTGATCCTCAGGTCTGTTTTTTTGCCAGTACCATGCTGATTTTATCACAGTTAGACTGCTCTAACTCTTGAACTCATGAAAGGTAAGGGTGTATATGTATAAGAGGTCAAAAAAAGTGACACACATAACAATCAAAACGATTGGCTTAGACAAGTGAGGAACTAGCCAATAACCCAGTATTTCAAAAGTTTTCCTCAAGCCAGGTGTGGTGGTGCACCCCTGTAATCCCAGCACTTGGAAGGTTGAGGCAGGAGGACTGCCGAAAGTTTGAGCCCAGCTTAGGCTACTTAGTGAGTCTAGGTCAGCCTGAACTACATAGGGAGACCCTGTCTCAAAAAAAAAAAAAAAAGTTTTCCTATATTAGCAGAAAATCAGTAAACCAGAAAGCAGCATTCCCGGCTCAGACCTTAATGGTTAAGAGACCATCTCCAACACAGCAATTTAAAGAAGGGAAAAACCAAGACAATGTCACTTCCCAGAAAGAAAGACTAGGAGAAGGCTCTAAGTCACCATGGCTATCTGTCACTTACAGACAAGAAGGGAAGAAAGCTATGTTAGAGGCCCTGTCTTAAATTCCATAAGCTTGGTTGAAAATACCAAAAAGAAATAAAAGACATCTAGAAATCACTGAGTAACACAAACTTATAACATGCTCTCTTGTCAAGAGACTTGACTCAAAGACATTTCTAAAACAGAAAGAGGGAAAACAAAAGCCATAAATATAGCATATGGAGCTTCCAATCTTTGGTACTTAGGGCATAATAAAAACCCTCAGAGCTGTAAAATCCAAGTTCTCAAGAGGCCATAAACACAGGAAAAGTAAAGGCAACTGCCGCTGAGGTTACTGTACTGACCTTCATGCTGTAACACTTCATTTCCCCTCCAAACTACTTACAGGAATGACTGCGTAGACTGTATCTTTTGCTGCAAAATACTGCTGCCAAATCTGTATAAAAAAAAGAGGGTGCCTGTGACATCTGGGTGATCTTTTCAACCTGTGGTAAGAAATGGTGACAGCTTTCACTGCTAAGAGTAATATGCTATTTGATAATGAGGAGGAAAAACCCATTGTAATGCTTTTGTAACTAGTACATGATTATAAAAAAGATTTAATATCATAATTCTTATAGATGATTAAACTGTAATTCTTAATAACAATGACTTAGTAAGTCTGTCAGAGAAACTGATTCTATGACCTTTGAAATCATTCCTCTCAAAACGTGCCTTGTGTGTAATAGACCACCTCTCTTTTCCTATCGTCTTTCTTCCCTCCCCAGACTCACACCACCCTAGCCAACTACGGGCCTTCTCAGAGAACCAGGACATCAGTCATTTGGGGAGGTCAAGAGGAGCTGGATGTAAATCCCAGCTACAATTATTTATAAGTTATGCCACGTTGGGCTTGTCACTGAAACTTCCTAAGTAATATCAATAAAATAACCATAATATCAACCCCACAGGATTGTAGTAAAGACTAGTTCAATTAATATACTATAACTCTGTGCTTAGCATGGAGTAAACACTAAAAATAATGTTAGCTTTATTAGCTAGTGTTGTCCTCTTATAGGCAGCTTGAGACCCCACTTCTAGACAGTTTTCCATATGAGGAAGAGATAGATAGCACCGTCAGACTCAGCAAACTCTATCAGTCAGAAGTCCTACTTCTATCTGGCCATAAAAACAGGGAGGGCACAGTTAACTTTCATGATATAAATACCAAAAGGAAGGGAATAAAGTTACAAAATCAGAAACTAGGGAAAAGGAAAAAATGTTCATAGTTCTACCACTCTAGAGGACTCATTTTTGTTATTGTGATATATCTTTTTCTAGCATTTCTTAGGAATGTTTTTTCTTTTATAGTACACATACATAGACACAGGGCATATGCAATATTGTGTCCTTTGCTTTTCGTCCCTTAGCATATCATATATATACTTTGTGTTCATATTTTTACTATTATTTTATTGACTTCCATGTCTTTTCATGCTATTGGCTCTGACTGGAAAGCCCTCTTTTCCCCACCTCTGACTCTACAGAGATTTCCTGGCACCCAAAGCCAAGCCTATATACCTCTTCTTCCATGTAGTCTCCTTTGACCATTTCAGTCTGAAATTTTCCTCTGAATTCCTTTTGCACTTTTTTTTTAAAGTTTTTTGAGACAGGGTCTCACCATGTAGTCCAGGCTGGCCTCGAACTCATGCTAATCCTTTAGCCTCAGCCTTCCAAGTGCTGGGATTACAGGCATGCCTGGCTGCTTTTGTACTTTATACCTTTCTAAAGATGCCTAGGATATGCTACCTCATAATAATGCTATTTACATGTGGATCCCTCTCCCTTACTAACTTGCAAATCTCCTGTAGGCAGAATATCTGCCTGTATTGTCACCAATTTCCTGCAAATCAAAAAGTACTCAGAAATGCTGACTGGATGATAGACCATTGTGATTTAATAAGAACTATATTTGTCTCCTCCATAGTTGTTAACACAGAGCTATTAAAAGAGGCACTTAACCCAGGTTAGGAAGTATGCTAGAAGAAGGGGCACTTGGATATATTCTGAAGAATGATTAGAAGTGAGTAGAGTAAATAGGCAGGAAGATGAATAGGTAGAACAAGATGAAAAAAGAGACACATTCTAAGCAGAGGGTGACATCATTAGCAAAGACCTAGAAGTTAGGAAAGGCACCATAACCAAGATGACATCTGAGTGAGCTAGCCATTCTCTTTTAGGGTTGCTCAGTATTGTCAACATTCCCACTACAATGTGTGGACCCAGCTGACAATACTAATCAATGTGTGATCTGTCTAATCAACACATAGTGCAAAAGGTCTGTTACCTCTTAGAGTCTAGGGAAACCACTCTATTAATGGACTCTAATTTTGCTTTGCCCTTTAAAAAAAGCATGTCAAAACACTGTCTTCTCATCTGAAGGACAGTATATTTCAATTATAGTATTTTGACTTAATTTATGATATTAGCAGATAGTTTATGAATCAACACTGAAATTTATGAACTGGGAGATATTTCCTAACTCAGTTGGTCTGTATTACTTAATAATTATTCCAAGAACACAAATCTGTATCTAAAATTACAGGTCTAAATGTTACTTCCTTGTTCAGGCCTCCTAAATGACATGCTTGATGTCCATGTTCCAGCACTCTCTCAAAGGTACAGACTGAGATGTCCCCAGGACTGCATAAGGCTGTATTAACAGAAGTTAGAACCTTGTGCTGACCTTAGTTGTTTTGTGTTTGTCCCTCCACTAGGCAAGAGTAACTTTAAGGGGACTTAGTTGGTGAGGATATGATAGGTAAAGTGAGAGGAATGGGAGTAGGGAAACCTACTTGGAAAGGTAAAGAGTACTAATGATTTTAAGTAAGATGTGACAAGTGGAATGAAAAGAAAGGGAAATATATCTTGATGAGATATAAGAGCAAGACCAACAAAAACAAGTTTTTTTATGCCACTGTAATTCATGTAATTCATCAGTTTTGTCCTTTATTACTATTTTTCATTTCTGCTAGAAAGAGGTGTCAAAAAAGGTATGGTCCTTTCTACTCAGATTTGGTCCACAGAACACATTTTCATGGACTATGCCAACACATTTTCATCATTACCTGTTTTATTTCTTCTGCAGTTTTGTCTTTCACCATCTCAATGTTAAAGATTGAACTGAGAGTCTTGAAAGGGAAAACAAAAAGCAATTAACATCTACAACTAAGAAACAACAACAAAAATCCTGCATCTTAATCTTGTCTCTAAGCCTTGTGGAAAACATATCTAAGGATGGTGAAGCAGATCTTTAATTAAGTACACTACAAGCATAAGAAAACTGCATGCTCAGGGACAATGAGCCCACAGGCCCACACAGGCTTTCACACTTCTACTCCTAGGAAGAATCTGGTAGGTAACCATGTACTTCCCAGTTGTTTCAACCTCACTGGCAAGTGCTGCAGCTCTTTGCAGCTGGTAAAAGAGAAAGCTTGGTTGTTATTTTTAATTTAACTGCTATTCTACCAGAGGAAGCTCATTATTTGTAAATTAAGTGACACACTAAATATATTTTCATTTGATTTTTTAAACTACTCCCTAGAGAAAGGAGAAATTTCACTACATTTCCTTCAAATTTCTTCCAGCATTACCAGGACCCATACTTAAGTTACAGTCATGTTCAGAACACAAAAATTCATCTCTCATCTCTATAGTTAGAAAATGACCTTATACAAAACCACCAAATCACAGTAAATACATTCAGGTTTGCAGCGCGCTGCCATAGATGTCCCACATGACTTCAGATTTAGATCTCAATATTTAGAGACTTACCTTGTCCTTAGTGAATCCTTTGCTCATAGGCTGTTTCTCCAAGGCATCTGTCTGAAATACATGACGAGAGAGGGGATTAATCTATACTTATAAGAAAAAGAAAACCAAGCTAGCTGCAGTACAAAACCAAGCTAGCTGCAGTACCCAATCTTACTAAGTAATTTGACACTCAATGACTCTCTTTTGAGTCAACCTCCCCTCTCCACTCTTTATAACACATTTGAAAAGTTATTGTTTATGCAGCAATGCTCCTCTAAGATTCTGAAATGCAGCGATGAGAAGAATTTTTCTTTTGGTCAGTACTATCATTTGGTAGTACTGGGGAGTGCATCCTATACCTGCCACTGTGAATATGAGATATCTCTTTCCAGAATTAGATCTATGTAGGTTGCCTGTGCTCAGCACACTGACCTATTCAACAAAGAGACGAAGAAGAGTGAGAAACTGAAAGACATGTTTTCTAAGACTGCTTTGTACCTCTGACAACACTTCTGAGGGCAGAGTCCCGAGTGGACTTAAGTCTTAATAGTTCCTCCATCAAATTAAACACTATCTCAAAAAAGGCCAAGAACAACTGAAAGTAACTATTTTCTCTCTTGCTTACTATCTCTGATAGAAGCCACAGCCTAGAATCTTACTTTGATGGTTTCTGACAGTAGGAATGGCTGATACAGGGCTGATAATTCTGAGTCTTCCATTCAATCTCTAAACTCCATACCAAGCTTTTAAGCCTGTTGCAGTGGTTCAGGTCTATAATCCCAGCTACGAGGGAGGGGAAAAAAACAAGTATGTTTTCAGAGATAAAGGAGTAGTCTACATGTTGGATACCTACTTATGTTAAAAACACGTTCTGTCACTATGTGATTTAATGAATCCAAATTATTCATAATGATGCCCATAGAACTTGTACTCACAAGGTCGATAAAAGCCTGGTGCAGGAAACCTTGTTGGACAGGATGTTTTTTATTATACCCCTATACATTGTTTTTTATTATTTATTATTATAGCATTCTAGGATAGCTATTCCTTCATATTCAAGCCATCTAAAAAGGAGAGACATGATTTCATCTTCACACGATTCATCCTTACATGTACAATGAAAACAAAACAAATCCTTCATTTGAACAGCTACTTTCACATTTCAATCACCAAACCTCCTCTTGTATTCTTTTCCTGCACTGTTCTTCAAATACATAATTTGTTTCCATTTTCACTTAAAAAAACCCAAAGTGTAGGCCTATTATAGTTTACCAAATCTAAGATATCATTAACCTTAAGATTCACTATTATTTTATGTATGAGAAAATAATGTGCCAATTAGCAGTAACATAATACTTGGCTATCATATCACTTCTGAGACAATTTTGAAGATACTAAAAGTATGGAAAAAAAACCCCGTGGGCCTTAAAACTGATGAAATAAGATAACTAATTAAAACAGTTTAAACTACATGCCAAAGGTCTCAAAACACTAACTAAAAAATTTAAATGACTGCTTTACTTTGTCTCCTGTACTCTGGAAATCTGCGGGGACAATATTCTTTTGTCACAATAACTGACTGGTGATATCGGTGTTTATTGGAGGGTAGGAGCGCCAAATGTGCTGCAACTTTACAGATGAGTCTACATAAAGACAACCTCTGAATGTCTAGCCGGGCATCCTTGTAGGTGAAACCATTTTGTAATTACCCGGCCTATAACCTAATTTAAAAAAAAGTACAGCTTTAATAGACATTGACTTTCCCAGAAATATAATCACTATACAACCTGAGAGAAGACTGTACAATGTGGCACCTCAGGACAGTGATAAGCATACTTCTCGTGCTTTTGGGGGTTTTTATAATTACTAATACAACATTCCTATACCAGTTAGCATTTGCTGCTTATGTGCTCATGGTTATTTCACAAATAAATGAAACATCCAAGAACTTAGATGCTACAATGTATATTTTATTTAAAAATGCTTTAATTATGGCTAGAGCACTATACTGATTTTCTCACCAAAATTATGTGTTTCTCACCTAATTATGTTATAGTTGGGTTATATAATCCACCTAACTATATAATTTTATTTCAGGCAGGAGAGAGAGAATTAAATACCATTTATTATAAAAAGAGGCTATCAAGTCCCATGTGGTAGGGAACTGATGACTTGAAGAGAAGGCTCTGAGAATTAGAAGTACGTGTTAGCTGTTACCCATCCTCTGCCTAGCTAGATAAGGAAGATAGCAAGTGAATATTTACCTAAGAGTTGCCATAATTTAAATTACTTACTCTACATCTTATCATTATAAACCCGAGTTTTTAAATTTGCTTAAAAAGGGATAAAGACTTTTCTGCATAAAATTGCAAGTTTATAATACAGAAATATTTCCAAGACCTATCAACTGTAACTTTGCTCCTATAAATGTGTATTATAGAAAATTACAACTGTTAAAATATTTGTGGTAGGGAGTAGTTGGTTTACCATAGGAAGCTGAATTTGTTCCCCGACTTTATGATACTGGCCCACTGACTATTAATCTTGTTCTAATTGACTCAACTAGTTATTAAGACTGTGTATAGGCTCTTAAACTTTAAGACACCTAAGGCAAAAAAGTTATTTTCCAAGTAAAACAAACATCTCTGATTTTTACAATCCCAATTTTCCTCTGGAACCACCTTATTTTAGGTTCTCTAATGCCCAGAGCTGGAGTACTACATATTTTCCCTGGTTCCAGTCTTTCCCACTCCAATTTGTTTTGTGCACCACTCTAGATTAGCATTTTTCAAATCTTTGATTATAAGATCAATTTAATGGACTGCCAGCAGAGATTTTTAAAAGACGAAAAGGAATGTATTACTTGTCACAAAAGTAGCTACTGCAGGGCCAAGGATGTAGCTCAGCCGCACAGTGCCTGCCTGGCAGGTGCAAGGCCCTATTGTTTCATAAAAATTTTCTTATAATCATACCATATGTACTAAATTGCAACATAAAATGTATTTCTTACTACAGGGCTTGATCAAACAATGTGAATAACGCTGCAATAATTTTTCCACATGCTTTCCTCCAGCTTTGATTCCTGTTTAAGGATAACAATGGCTAATATGTATTAAGTATTTATTATGTGTTAGAACTACCCTAAAAAGTGATGCATGATTCTATTTACTGTCCTATACAACTCTATGAGATAGGTACTGTTATTATTCCTGTTTCAAAGAGAAGCACACTGAGATGTGGAGAAGTTATACAATTTGCTAGTAAATAGAAGAGCTAGTAAGTAAATAGAAGACCTAAGATTCAGTTCCTGGCATCTGCCTGCACAGTGCATCCTCTTAGCAGGTCAGTTATCCTGCCTCTACTCATCTGGGCTTTTATTCAAATGAATATGCCATGGGCATTCTGGATAGTGGAGCTCTTGGTAGGCTCTGGAGATATAGAAATTGGGCAAAGTACCTCAGTCTCTCCAGGAACTCCCTTTACTTTTAAAGCTTTTCCTCTGTTTAAGCTAATTCCTTATCACACAGTAGGAGTGCAGCACGAGAGGGCAGTGGTTGGTTGTTAGCAGACTAAGTCTAGCCTGCCAACTGTTTTTGTAACTGAAGTTTATTATAACATAACCACACCTGTTCATTTATTGTCTATGCCTGCTTTTGTACTATAACAACAGAGCTGAGTAATTATAACAGAGATCATATGGCGTACAAAGCTCAAGATATTTACTACCTGGTTCTTTTATAAAAAGTTTGATGATCTCTGTTCTACATCAAAGCCCTACTCTCTCGTTTCTGCTTTAAATCCCTCAGACTCTTCATAGTATAGGTCAGGTTCAATCTCCCCTGAGAAATTTTTCCTGACTCCTATAGTCTGCTATCATATATGCCTCGTCTGACTTGTAGATTGCAAGCCTAGTAGGACTAACTACACTTTTCTTCCCTCTCAGTCTCCACCATGACCATAGTACTTTGCCTAGAAAAAACAGGATACACATTTATGGCTGGAGACTGAATACAACAGGGAGAAGCTATGCCCAGATCAGAAGTTGATCCATCATGGAGGCCACATTAAGGATAGAACTGGAAGAAGTGGGGGAGCAGTGTTGGTAAGCCAGTAACACAAAAAGGGGCAGATCTTACCTTTTGCTCCACACATTTGATGAAATCACCTTGCCTAGAATACCCCACTGGTTGCTTCTGAAACTCACTGCGCTTTTCTAGGCGTGACTCAAAAGCAGCTGGGTCGGACCTGAACAAAGATAAATCAAAAGGTAAACCACCTGGGCCTTTTTAGATTTTGAAATAATAAAGCATTATGTTCTACTGCTACAGAGAAAGGACACAGGCATGAAAAGAGGCTGAAGGATTTGCCTTCAGTTAGTAAGGACTGGGCACAAGAAAGGGGGGCAGAATTTAGTTCTTCAACTGTTGTTAATCCTCAAGGGGCCAGTGTCAAATTTTTTCTCCTGCAAGATATACTGAAGTGCAACACAGGACCTTGGTCCTTCAGGTACTTATAGACTGGATAATTAGAATCCTCAGGATGGAAAGGATACTGTGAATTCATTTTGCTGAGTTACCTTCACAGGCAGGAATCCTACAGTGTCCCTACTAGGTGTCAAGCTTTTACTTGAATATACTCTTTAGTTTATCATAGGCTTGAAGCCATCTGTTTTGCAGAAAATTTAGCACCTGAGTGTTTCCCTGATCTATCCTCTGAAAAACTGCAGATGAAACAAGAACTTGTCTTTTGTATTAAAATAAACTTTCAAACTTCAAACTTGAGGCTGTCATCCTTGTTAAAAATTCTTCAGGCCAGGCATGGCCACACATGCCTGTAATCTCAGCACTTGGGAGGCTGAGGTTAAGATGATCATTGCAAATTTGAGGCCAGCTTGTTATATAGTGAGATCCTGTTTCAAAAACAGAGAATTCTTTGGGGTTTGTAGCTAACAGTGGGATGTTTGGCTTTGTATGCTTTGGTGATGACATCATCTACAGGCTCTAGTTTCTTGGCTGTGGGAGCCATAGTGTCATCAGGGAGTTTGGTGGACCCTCTCAATTAGGCATTTTAGGGAGCCCCCCCTTCCATAACATTCCTTTCTGGAGGTAACGTCAAATGCCATGTTTTTCACTGTCATGTAAATGGGCTGATCTAGAAGGACTGGGTCAGTTTTGCTGTGGCTACAAACATATCTGAGCCTACTATGGTAACTACATAGAGGTGAGAGGTACTGTGGCCAGCAGAGCTCTTGATGAGCTCTGGGGATATAGAAATAAATAAGGCAGAGTCTCCACCTCAAGGAATTTATCTAGTACGAGCAAGACAGCCATGTTAATAAGTTCATGAGAGCACTACAGATATCATGATGAAAATTTGTCCAAACATCCCCCAATGTCTGGTGGTTTCATGTTGCTAACTTTTGACTATGTTGCCGTTCCCCTTGTCCAGAACACCCTACCCATCCCCTCCATCTGGTTTTGGTTTGCACATCGTACTCAAAGGAAATTTTGCTAAGAGGTAAGGCTGGAAGCATCTAAGGTGTGAGACCCTTGTGTGGAACACTGAGGAATTTGGGTGTTACCCAGAGGTCAACTGTGACTTGGAAAGCTCACTCTTCAAGAGATAACAGTATGTGTAAATGTTAGTGGGAACGATCTAGTAGAGGAGAGCAAAATCATTTTTTGTTCATGAGTAAGAATGAATGGTAGCTGGTGGAGGTGTTTGTGTGTAAAACGGACCAAAAAGAAAGGGCCGGAGTGGTAGGCCAAGCAAAGATTTAAAAAATGACAAATAACTTGAGGATATCTAAGTTCGGTTGAAAGAAAGAAAAAGTACTCATTCATGTATGTCATCATTGCTTCAAAAAGCGAGAAGAATCACCACAGAAGCAGTGAGATGGACTGGGGTAGAGGGTCCAAGATTGGAAGTGAGAGACACTAGTGGATGATGGCGGTGGTCCAGGTAAATTAAGGCGGTGAAATTAGAGATAAGACACAAGGCAGAGAATTTACAGTACTAGATTTTTGATTTCCTTTCATAAGAGGACTGCCCTCCTACCCTGAAAAATTCTCTCCGAAGCTCCCTTTTTACCTCTGATCTTCAGCTCTTCCCAACTGAACTCTTCAGACCTCAACTCCCCCAACCATCCTCTCCAAACCTGTTCTAATCTCCAGGTCTTTCCCTCTGGAAGCTGAGGGGTAGTGTTAGAAACTCTGAATTGAGCCAGACAAACCCCGACCTCTGCGGGGGCGTTATTTTTGGCGAGTCTCTTCCTCTCTCTCTCGTCCTCACTTTCCTTATTTTAGTGGGAGGGTTTGACTAAGGGTCCCCCAGGGCCAGTCTCTGCGACAGTTCTCTCACCCTCAAGCTCCTTTCTCGCCAGTTCTCTAACTTATGAGCTCGGGAACTCGAGCTCTGCACCTCGGCTTATTCAATACGTGACCTTAAGCAAGTCAAGACCCTTCTCTGGAAAACTTCACTTCCCACTTCTACAATGGGGTCAGGTCTCCTCCGAGCTGCTTGCCCCACAGGGCTGTCAGAAAAGTCCATCTTAGCATTTTGAGAACTAAAGAACAGAGACAGCTGTGGAGAGAGCCAGGGCTCTGCAGAGACTGACCAGCTGTGTGATCTTGGGCAGGAGGCCCATCCTGAGTCTCGACACACCATCAGCAGGGGGGACAGTACTAGTGTGGAGTCCCAATGCCCGGCCCGGCCGCGCGCCGCAGTCCTTCCCTCTACCCGCTCCCCGCCAGCCGGCCGGGGCCGCACCTGCGCAGTTGCTGGATCTTGTCCCGGTAGCGGTGGTAGAAGGGGTTGGCCTCCAGCTCGGCCCCGGCCCCGGCCCCGCCGCCGTCCGCGCCCCCCGAGGGCTGGCCCGAGCCGCGGCGCACTGGGAACACGCGCAGTTGTGCGGGTGAAACAAAACCCAGGCCCAGGGTGCGGCTGCGCACCGTGCAGAGGCCTCGGTAGAGGCCGGCCACTTGCAGGATGGCCGGGCCGGCGTTACCTGCCGCCGCCATTGCCGCCCCCACCTCCCCCACCTCGTCCTCGGGCGAGTCTGCCACAGCCCCGGGCCCTCGTGCCTGCTCCATCGCCCTCCGGGTCCGCGGCGCCCGCGATTCGCCACCGAGGTTCCGCACGCCCAAAGTTCCGGGCGCAGGAGAGGGGCGAGGCGGAACAGGGGGCAGGGGGACCGGGGCGGGAGGGACTCTCCATTCCCGCCCCCGCCCCTGCGTGAGCTCCGGCAGTCTGCTGTGTGCTGTGCGCCGCTTCCTCCCGGAAGCCTGCGGGGATCACGTCCTCCCCCTCGGGACCAGCAGCCTGTGCGCGCCAAGTGTCCTCTGGAAAGCCCGGTCGGTCTTTCGGGTTCTCACGGAGCCTGCTGCCTTTTGGCACCAGCTGAAGCACTCAGTCCATCTTTCTGCGTTAAAGGCTGCTTCACCAGTTCTCATCACCACCGCAGCATCTCTTTACTGAGGTTGCTGTGCAGAACACTTTATTGGCTTCATATCTTTTGAAGCGGGTATCATCTCATTTTATAGATGAGGAAAGAGGCTGAGATTTGGAATGATGTGTGCAAGTTCTAGTCGAGGTCATGGCAAGATGCCAGCTGCTTCCAGTGCCTTGTTTCCCCTGATTTCTTGACATCTAACTGGAGATCGACCTAAACTAAACTTCTCTTCTCCACCAAAGGGACACCAGGAATAGTCCTTGACATGTCTTTTTTCGTTTTTTTTTTTTTTTCTTTTTAAATCCTTGGAATGGTCTCTTCCTCTTAACCCAGGTATCACCACCTTCTCCACTTCTTGAACCAGGTGTGTGAACTCATGAGGTCAGGAACAATAACATCACCGTGTCTGTGGCTCACCTGCTGCCAGCATGAGTGGACCCTCTAGAAGGGGAGCCATTAGTGTGCCTTGCGTAGAAGTCCTTGTCTGGGTCTTACTCGATCCTCCTAAGCCAGGGAGGGAGCCTCCAACCCTGTTTAGTCCAACCTGCACCCATGAAGGTGAAACCTGCCCTGTTTTAGGAGCACTGTCGGGGTGGGTCACAAAGTCCAAGTGTGCTTCCCAGTGTCTGGCTCAGGATTCTGGCACTTGCTGCTTCCTCTGCTCACATTTGCTCATCTAGGGCTCAGTCCACACATCAACACCTTAAAGGAGCTTTTCTTAACCAACCTCTCTATCCTTTCATAGTCTATTTTTTTTACCCTAATTGTGTCCTATTATTTTACTCTATTTTCTTTATGGTAGTTATCACTATCAAAATTCTTAGGTCCTTTTTTACATTCACTCGTGGAGGTTACATTCTAGTGGAGTGAGAGATATGCAGGAAAACAAAACAGGCTAAGAGAGATCTAAGTAAGGGGACATTCAAGCAGAGACCTGAAGGAAATGAAAGAATGATCTGTATGGATATCAGGGAAAACCCTTCCAGTTAAGGCAAACAGCAGATGCAAATGCCCCAGTGCAGGAACATGCTTACCTGGCTTAGGGAACAGCAAAGTTCTTGTATCTGCATGAGTGAGGGGGAAGCAGTAGAAGTAAGACTAAGGAGGTATGAGGAGGTTGGATAGATTGCTCAGGACCTTGGAAGCCTTAGTTAAAGACTGTGATTTTTGATCTCTGTAATTGGAAGTCACTGTAGGTTTTGAGCAGAAGAATAAGATGTTTCTACCCTTAAAAGAATCATCCTCTCTGATGATGGAATTTAAGGTATGTGGAGCAAGGATGGAAACTCTCCCAAGGCAAGGGTGTCTAATTTGTCTTTGTTCACCTAGGATGTTTTCTTTTCTTGCTTTAAAAATTGTACTTTTTCCTTCTAAAATTTAAAAAGATGAAGCACCAGTGTACTAATACAGAATCTATACTATCAGCGTGTATTTTAGTCTCTTATCACTACCTGGGCTAAGTTTACATACTTTACATAATAAGCACCTTCAATGTTGAAACCAAGACAGTCCCCTCTCTTTTAAAAATTAAGTTTATTGGTGCAGTTTAGATAATGATCACATTCATCATAGGGAATTTGTACCTGTACACAGTGTATCTTGGTTTCTGTTTTTTCTTTAGTCTTCTCTTACTGAACCAGGACTTCCTTGGTTTTAGCATTGAAGACTCCATGTCCTGAGAATACCCACAAATCCTGGCCAAACGAGATGGTTGGTTATTTGTACGGGGGGGGGGTCAATGATCTAAGGGACTAAAGTTATAGTGACGGAAAAGTGGTCAGATTTTGGGTATATTTTAAAAGTTTCAAAATTTTGCTGTATGAGTGTGAATATGATAGAAGGAAAGGAGTCAAGTAGGGCTTGCAGATTCTGGCCCGAATAACTAGAAGGACAGACTTGCTATCAGAGAGCAGGATGGGTGCAGGGAGACTAGATTTTGGAGAAAGGGTGGGAGCAGTTTGGTTTTGGACATGTTGGTTTGTGATAATAGACTGGCAAGGAGGGATGTCAACCAGGCTGTTGGGTAAATGAGCTTCTGAGCTGTGTTCCAGCTGGAGATACAACATGATACTTAAGTCTTAAGTGTGGATGAGATTCATCGAGGAGTAAATGTAGGTAGGATGCCAGGGACTGAGCTCTGGGACAGGCCAATATTTAGACATCAGGAAAAAGAGGAGAAACTAGTAAAGAAGACTGACAAGCAGGGGCTAGTGATGTAGGAGGAAAGCCAAGCGAAGTGGACCCTGGGGAAAACTCTGCTAAATAGTGTTCCAAGTAACACACTGGGGAACTATAAAGTAATTCAGTGGTGCCAAGAAGCTGAACCAAACCTGTGGGGAGATAATTCTGTGGTGGACCAGTCTCTAACGGAAGTGATGGACACATCCTGCCTTCAAGATGCCACTGGATGGAGTTCTTCCTTCCAATAACTCAGGACCCCCTGGAATGCTCAGTGCTCAGAACCTGGTAATTTCTCTTTTAGGGAACAATGGGTCCTGAGCCTTCTGAAGACTCCCATTGGTGGAGAGATGAGTGGGTGAGTTCCTAATTCCAGCAGCCGTAGGCCAGGAACCAAGGCTAAACCGTATGGACTCCCAGCAGGACCTGAACATCTCTGGCAGTAAGTGGCCCTCTAATTCCCGCCCATTGCCTTGTGCTGTTAGGCATTAGGACAAATACTCAGGGAAGGTCCTTTGCATTGATGGAGTGCTGAGCAGTTCAGAGGTAGTCTCCGGTAGGAGGCTGAGGGTCCCTCGAAGGCAGAGACTGTTCTGCCCAACCCGCAGGAGAGACATTGGGGAACTTAACTTCCCTGCCCTTACTGAGGTTTCTCAGTGCCATGGATTAGATAGGTCCTCGGCAGGGAGCTCAGAGGCCTGACTGAACCTGGGCAGGTCAAGCTCCCTCTAGACCTGGGGTTCCTTATCTGTAAAGGACTACAGTGGCCTCGGAAGCTCCCTGGAGAATCAGCTTTGACTGATGGAAAGAAGATGTGGCAGGTCTGTGAGGGAGGAGGGAGGGAAGGAATGGAGAGAGTGGTTCTGTGGAAAGAGTGATTGACACATGGGTCAAGGAGAAGACTGAGCAACAGCTCAGACTCCAAGAAAGAGCTGTTAGGCAACTTGCCTCTTTTTCTTTCTTTCTGCCTTAGCATGGGTGTCACTGTACTTTGGATTCCTGGCGCTGTGTTCTGTGCTAACGGGAAGCTGCATTATCTTTCTGCACTGGAAGAAGAACATGTGGCGGGAAGCGTGTGCCCAGCAGTGGGTTGAGGTGATGAGAGCCGCCCGGTTCACCTACAGCCCCCTGTTGTACTGGATCAACAAGCGACGCCAGTATGGCCTGAATGTAGCCATCAATACGGGCCCTCTCCCTGCTGTTGCCAAGTCTGAGACTGAAGTCCAGAATCCAGATCCTTCATGCAAGCTGGATATCCCCGAAGGCAGGAACTACCCTGTCCAACCTAGCAGCCCCAAGATGGAGGCCCCTGACCCTCCGCAGCCCACTCTGGTGGCACAGCAGCAGCCCGTATCTTCCCTCATGCTGCAGCCCCAGTCCGGTTCCCCACTCCCAATCCTCATCTTTCAGGAGGCCCCTTGTGCACCAACCCTCTGCAGCCTACCTCCCATCCTGAGCCACGCTGTCTCCTACCCTTTGGCCAAGCATCCTGAGAAGAATGTCCACTTCCATTCCTTCCCCACACTGGCCCACGGGGCAAAGAGCTTCAATGCCAAACCTTTTGCTGCAGAAGTCTAGCCTTCTCTCACTGGGAGTGGAAGGTGCAGCTACCAGGGGCAGAACAGAAAATCGAGCTAACTTCAGGGAGGTGGCCAGAGCCCATCTGAATGTCACATTTTGAAAGATTAAAAAAAAAAAATCCAAGTTTCTCTTGTGTCTTACTTGCTGTTAGGAGGGCAGTGTCTTTCCTCTGCTTGACACCGGGGATGGGGCACTTTGCAGAGCAAGTTGCAAGGTCTCACCAAATACAAAGCTTGGCTGTGGGGAGAAACACTGAACCAGTACTTGTAGAAGGACTCGCTATTCCTCCATTCAGTATTTAAGCTGAAGCATGTGAGCCAGGCCCTAGGCTAGGTCCCCAAAGACACTGCTGTTCCATAGCACACAGCTATGGAGGTCCACAGTGGCTAAACAAGTCCTGTGATGAGACCTTTGAACACTAAGGGTTTGAATGGCTGATATCTATGATACAAGGATTTGTAGGTGGTCATCCCTATACATTATTTCTAAGACTCACAAGAATACTGTCACATAGCTATCATATGCCTCCTCTTACAGATGAAGAGACAGGTTCCAAGGAAACATGCTCTACAATTTTTATGTTGCAGAGCCAGTGCTCCAATTTACATCTGTCTGGCATCAAAGTTCCTGATTTTTTCTTCTTTTTTTTCCCAGTACCGGGAATCGAACTCACGACCTTGCACTTGCCAGGCAGGCGCTGTGCCACTGAGCTAAATCCCCAGCCCCGACCTGATTTTTTTTTTACCATATCCCATGGTGTCTCTTCCCTAACCCTATGTTGTTAGAGTGCACTTGGTAAAAGCTTTAGTGTGTGTAGGGTGTCTGCAACTTGGTCCAGGTTGGCTTGGAGGGAGTACATTTATGTACAGAAATACATCTGTTGTTTATCTTTCTCGGAACTCCATAGCCTCTTATAAGATCTGCTATAAAGGAATATCAATAATCTTTGTACTTTCTGAAAACAGTCCTAGAAAGACAAAGATAATACTATCTATTTGCCCCCTATTTAAAGGTAAGAAAGTTCAGCTCAGGCACAGAACATGCATTTTTCCCTTTTACTTTGGGAATGCACAAATCCCTCTCATTGTACTTGTGAATAATCTAAGTACAGACTTTCCTGAGGGCAAGGGCCCCTCAAAGTGTGTGTGTGTTCTCGGAACTACTAAACATGTAGGGTTTTTTATTTTTTGATGTACATAAAAGCCCCAGCCCTATCATATGGCCCCGTTCTAACAAACCATTTAAAGCCCCTTTCTTGTAAACTTACTATTATATTGACCTTCTAAATACAAAACAAGCTTAACTGGAGATCAGGGACTCACTCCTCCCTCACCTTGCCCTTTTCCCACTCTGTGATATATAAAGCCTAAGCCCTGTAGCTTTCACTTCTTCAGGCCAAATACTGCTTTATTTTTGTTTTTTTTTTTTTTCTTTGAGACAGGGTCTCATCATGTAGTTCAGAAGGCTGGCTTTGAACTCACTATGTAGCCCAGGCTGGGCTGAAACTTGCAGTGATCCTCCTGTCTCAGCCTCTCAAGTGCTGAGATTATAGGTGTGCGCCACTATGCCTGGTGGCAAATATTGTGATTCTGAAGGCAGATTCTTCAACGTTACTTTGTGCCCACCATCTGTTATTCTTTGCTTTCAAAAGCAAGAGAAAGTCCAAAAAACAGGGAACAAAGCAGGTTTCCCCCCTTTAATAATCAGGGAGTGAGGAAGGCTTTATTCAGACACAGTGAGAGAAAAAAGAATGTTTTATTTAGATAAATTAAAATGGCTGTATTACCGATATGAAATAAGCAAAGCTTGAATCAAGTCATGGAAACCTTGAATTCATTCTCTAAACACAACCAAAATTGCTTGTGCATTATCAAAACAACTTCACTAAAACAAAGTAGATTTACATTTCTTAATATGAGAAAACAACAAGGTAGTTAGGTTCTTATAACAAATACACGCTCTATAGTCTCAGGAGTACCCAAATGTGTTCTTCTTTGGATATGAAAGAAGGTACCACACACCTAGCTGGCGTTCAAGCAAGCCAATGAGGTGTATAGCAAACAAAAGCTGTCACTAGAAACAACTCAACAGGCTATTAAGAGTATGAGCCCATTACAGTCAAAATCCTCAACTGTGACCAGCAGGACCAGCAAGAGGGGCTGAAGGGGTCTGTCCAGCAACTGCAAAGAAAGAAAGCTACAAAGGAAGAGAAAACAGCCAGTAGCAGGGGAAGGGTGTCCACTCCTCTGCTATGCTGATCAGACCCGTTCCTGAGTGTCAAGCACCTTCCTGGCCTTCAGACAACACTACAGTTATCTGGAAGCCAGGTACTCTCTTCCTTTGGTTCTTCTCTTTCTATACTGCTGTTTGCCTCTTTTGACTTCTGGGGAGCCTCTTTCAGTATGCTAGATAGTACAAGGCCACAGAACCAAAAGATCAGGGAGCAGCGCTTTGGGAAACTAGAGCAGTAGGAATGGTCAGACTAAAAAGGTAAAAGGATTCACTAAAGCCAGACTCACCACCACTATTCAATCTTTCTCAGAGCTGAGATGTGACAGGTGAGGCCTGACTACAGCTGACAAGACACAGGCTAAGTTAGGACAACATAAAAATGAAAATTCCTAATTAACACTGAGTGGTGGGCTTCTGAGGCTCTTTTTTTCCCCCCTTTTCTTTTACTGAGGCTCTTAAGTCAGTGTGTCTGCTCAACTTTGAACACAGGAAATCTAGACACCTTCCTCTGTCCAGGAGATACGGCAGTTTCTCAGGCAGGGTGACAAGGAGATCACAGGCCTGAGTGCAGCACGGATGCCTATGGAAGACTTGCCAGGGGAGGGAATGGCATTATACATGGCTCTGGGGTGATGCTAGGAGACAGGCTTGAGTTGGGATTTTAGAAGAGAAACTAAAAAGCAAAAAGCAAAAACCCCCCGCAAAACCTCCATAGATAGCTATTGGATATAAAAGAAAAGTACATACCACAAGGAGTTAAAGTGTCCTGAAAGTATCTGCCTTGAATAAGAACTTGAAACTAAAAAGGACAAGCTACATTACCCTCAAGTATATTTCATATAAATCAGTTTTCAAAAAAATACCTTCCAGGTACAGACATACTTTATGGTACAATATATACAAATATAGCAGTGTAAGTCAATTTATTGCTAGAATTTTATTGGTTGTTACAAAAAATCTTTAAGGGTGTATATATTAAAAAAGAAAGGAGGGCATGGAAGGCAGCCAGAAGAGCAAGAGTTATCTTCAAGTTACCTAAAGTGCCAGGCTAATTTTAAACTATAATTTAATTCTTCCAAGAAAGTGAAATAGATGAGCAAGGGAAACATTAAGGGGAAAAAATTAAAAAGACAAACATAAACCATAATGAGATAAGCAGACACATTTATGGGAAAACCTTTGTCTTGCTTGAACTAAATCTTAAGACTTCTAGAAACAATTTAAGGTTCTATAAGGTTATATATTCATCAACTTGAATGTAATGTAAAGACAAAATGGTATTTAGATATTTAAGGGAATGGAGTGCATCCATGGACAACAGGGCAACCTGGACAAAGTTACATGGAAATGATTTCTGCTAAAGAAGTCTGTGCCACAAGAGCTTCTCTAGTTTCTCCCTGACTTATCTATATCAAAGGTAAGTTCTGTAAAGTTTTCCTTTTGTGTTGCTCAGACTATTTCTCAGAACAACACAGAAAGTCTAAGTCAACTTAAGTGACATGGAGGTATTACTCCTTCAGCCCAGGGGCCTTTTTGTCAGATCTACACAAGTATTTAATAGGAAAAATATTGCACTTGCTTGTATTAGATTTGGAAAAAAAAATTGTTACCATCATGTGAAGGCTGCTGTTCCAGGCCTGCCTGTTATAGACCTAAAAATTGTAAGGAAACTTGAGTGTGATTTCATGTTTCATTTTATCTTTTTGGCCTTAGTCATCCCACCAAGAAATATATCTGATTCTTTTATAAAATCCAAAGGATATGGTTTTCTGGGTCAAAATCAGGAGTACAGCTTTCTTCTAATGCTTTGGGTGGCCACCCAAAGTGACCAGGGACTTGAGCCCTGCCATTCAGAATGGAGACAGCCCTGAAGGATGGAGCCAGTTACAACTTTTTTGTTTGTTTTTAAAGACAGGGTCTCACTATGTAGTCTAGAGTGGCTTCAGCTCATGGTAATCTTGCCTCAGCCTCCTGAGTGTTGGGATGAGAGGTGTGTGCCACCATACCAGGCTGCAAATATAGCTTTAAGATAGATCTGAGTAGCAGGGTGGGCAGGAGAAGACAATTTAGTTTGCTTGACAAGGGGAAAGGGGAATGTAGCTCCCCACTGGATAGGTTTTGTGTTCATAAACCCTGAAGGAGCATTTAACAGTGAGAGAAATCCCCCACAGCTCTACTGAGCCCAGGCCAGCACTGCCCCCACAGTGCCCAGGCCCCACCCATAACCAAAGCCCAAGCCCAGGGCAGCCTTGGGGCATTCGAAGCTTGCTGAGAGAAGCTGGAGCACAGTTTTAGTGGCTACCCAGATCAAATCAGTGATTTTTTTAATAACAAGTCACTGTTCACATCCTGTTCAAAATAATTTTTCTTACTTTCCACACAATATGAACAATCTTTCATTCATTTTAAATATTTACAAACAGAAAGGCTTATCTTTTAAAGAAAAGACATTTTCTGAATCTCTATAAAGTGCAGCTAATTTTAAGGCAAATTTATGTGAAATATAAAAGGTGGCTTATTCTTTCTATATATACATTTTCCAGTTTCAAAAGATAAGGACTCCTTCCCTCAAAACAAGGAAAGAGAGAAAAAGGGGGCTTTATTTTTCTTTCCTGGCAATTTTAAAATGTAAGATCTTACTAGCTTCAGGAAATCATAAATTTCTGAATATTATAAGTAAAATTTTTTTCTTTTTTTTAAAAAAATAACTTTATATACCTTTTTCAAACAAGTTAAAAGGTGGCAATGTGTCTGCTACAGTAGTTTGGAGGACTGGAGGGCTGACGGGTAAGTAAAAGTTGTTTTTGTTAGACAAGTAGATTCTAGGTTGTCCAGAGTGTACATCTATTTCTAAAATATGCCTGATACATTTAGACACCTAAAGCTACTCTTAGCTCTAGGAACGAGTATCTTCCATCTCCATTGGAATCAAATGCTCTCAAATTCTTTGGTTCTGGTATGGCAGAACCTAGGGAGTTCCGGATTTCCTCGTAGGTCAGCTTCCCGTCCACATCCTGGCCAGTCTTGTGGAATAAGTCCTGAAGATCTGTCAAAAAGGAATTACAAAAGACGTGTATGTCTGTACATACAGCTAAATTTAGTTAAAAGTAGCCTCAAGTGAATTTAAAGAACTAAAAGAAAAGTTGCTTTGCAGATTTTGTTTGCAAAGGCAACGTTTAAGATCTCACTAAATTAGAAAGATTGACTTTTGATCCTTTAAGAATGAGAAGACTACTGTGTCACATCACCCCTGGCAAATAGAATAAGAGCCAGACAATCATGGAAAAAATTTCATGGATTGGTTTTCTGTGTCCAGGGCCTTCTGTTAGATTTTCCAGATTTTATTCAATGCTGAAGGGGTGGAAAGGAATGCAGAGACCTATTTGTAAGAGCTACCCTATAAGATAGACTACAGCATATTGTGAGACTGCTTGTTGGGTGGCTGAGTAGAAACCGGAGGAACGTCTTGGCAGTCCACAGAGCAGTAACAATCCCTAAGACTCAGTTTTCTGAATTTTGATAGGAAAACCAAAGCTCAAAAAGGAAAGTTTCTGTAGGTTACATAACTCTTACATAGCTAGATATAGAGTACAAGTTTTCTTATTTTACCTAGTCTGGTGCTCTTTCTGATATGTGACACTGTCACTCTGAATCCAGAAATTAAGCAGATCAAGGAGCAGGGATTCAAGACTGAGATGAGATACTATTTTAATCTTTCAAAAATATTGCTGAGAAAATGGACAAAGTATATTGCCTCTTATATTGGTGATGAGAATGTAAATGGTGCAGCTACTCTGGAAAATACCCTGGCATTTCTCAAAAAGTTAAGAGATTTAATATGACCCAATAATTTTATTGCTAGGTATGTACTCAAAGGAAATGAAAACAAACGTCTATAAAAACCTGAACACTAATATTCATAGCAGCATTGTTCCCAAAAGCCTCAAAGTAGAAACAACTCAAATATTCAACTGAGGAATGGATGAATAAAATGTGGTATGTCCATACATACAATGGAATATTATTCACCCACAACATGAGTAGGCCATAAAAACATTATGCTAAAAGAAGCATACTCAAGTTCACATACTGTATGATTCATTTATATGAAAAATCCCCAAAAGGCAAATCTATAGGAGCAGCAGTTGCCAGCGGGTAGGGGCAGAATGCACTGGGGAGTGACTGTTTAATGGGCACAGAGTTTTGTTGTGGGGCGATGAAAATGTGGAATTGGATACTGGCAATAGTTGTGCAACTGTGTGAGTAAACTAAAAACCACTCAATTACGCATTTTGAAAGACTTAGTTATGGTACATGAGTTATATACCAATTTTTAAAAAAGCAGAGCTGTATTTTTTCCTCTCTCTGCATGTTTTCAAAAATTTGGGAGATAAGAGAGCATTACTACCACTTGACCTGTGTCATTTTTATTTGCAAGGCAATTATTTCATTCAGTAGGACTGGAGAATTTCTACTAACAGTCTATAACATTTAAAAGGGACTTGATTTTAGCCCTATAATCAAAAGAAGATTTAGTGTCTAATACTGAAGACCAATAGGGCTAATTTAAAAAAAAAAAACCAACTTCCTAAATTATTTTTTTTTCTTCATTTATTCAGGATTCAATGGGCCTCTTTTTCTTGGTACTCAGGAAGAATAAAAATGAAGAGAGGGAAAACAGTTCCAGTCCAACAAGTTCTTGTCAACACCTCTGAATAGGGCTTGAGTCTCACTTCAGTCAAAGGCTGCATGAAACTAGTAAAATCTCAAAAGCTCTATGAAAGCCAGAAAGGCAGGTTGAGATGCTTCTTCCCAATACCTGCTACCAAGTAGCTAACTTTTTTTCATGGCATGAATTTATATAATACTTGGTAGCAGTGTTCAAGTAAAAATGATTGCTGCTTTAGGTCATGCAAAGGCCTATAGGGAGGTCTGAAGTACATACTATTCCTTAATCTAATAGTCATTTCCCCATTCATTTTCAAGAATTCTTGATGTAATAATGGAAAGTGGGAAGAGGCAACTTTTGTTGCTTTTGAACACAATGCTCTTCCCTACCCAGAGAACAGAAAGGAAAAAAAATCTGGGATAGGGAAAAAAGTAATCACATTTAGATGGTGAGATAAATCTTGCCTATTTTATGTTTCAACCATTAATTGTAGTCTGTTGGTAACTCATTCATTCATGTAACAAACATTCATGTGTACCAGGCACTGCCTTAGAGTCTAGGAGTGATTAGGACACAGGACCTTACCCACAGAAGTTAGACTTTTTATCTCCCTAGGAAATTACAACAGAGTGACAAGTGCTAAACAAGGGTAAACACAAAATGTAACAGCACACAGTAGCGCCCTACTCCAGGAGGTAACGTTTCCTGCTAAAATGTTATCTAGGCTAAAGTGAAGATCCAGAGAAAGGGAGGTAGACAGGGATGGGTGATTTTTTTCTAGGCAGTTAGCAAATGGAAAATCAAGAGGTTTCAACATTGCAATGAATAGATGACACTATTGTAAACAAGGGAAACATATTTTTCTGTGACTCATATCCTTGCTAGTAATGTTTATTTTGCTGATTTTCAGCAAAGGGGGCCTCTCATTTTTGGACTTGAAAAAGTCAATTTTTGTTTTATTTTGCTAATATGATAATATTGTATTTGCTTTTATGCCTTCTACACTAGACTATAATATCCTCAAGGAAGGCATTTGAGACTATAACTTATACTGTATTGTTACAGCTTTGCATGTGGCCTAATGAGGCACTCAGTGAATGAATGAAGGCCCTAAAGAAAAACAGTGGAGAGATGGTACGGTACACTGGTTAAGAGTACAAGCTTTTGTGACAGCCAGTCTCACAGTGAATTCTGCTCAAGCACTTAATTGCTATTTGGACTTAGGTATTTTCCTATCAGTAAAATGGGTATAATACATGAATACTTCCATTCACAGGATGGTTAATAGGACATGATGCACATAAAGCATCCAAAGCAAGTATTCAATAAGTGTCAGATAGAATCTTTTTGTAAGTTAAAAAACATTAATTTGAACATTCCCATCTTTATCCTACATTATACAAATTTACCTTCAATGCTAGAAATTCCTGGTAGGGAGATAGGTCTTAGTTGGGCAGCTTTCTCAATTTGGTCTCCAAGAAATTGTGAAAATTTTGGCAATGATGATGGCTTTGATGTGAAACTCTGAACTTGCCCTGTAACAAACAAACACATATACTTTTAGTATAATCAAATCTAACATCAAATTAAGCTAGTATCAAAGGTTACCTTCTAGGGAAATTGCATATGTACTTAATTTAAGAGAAACAGTTGAGAATTAAGCAGCATAGTTACTATATAAAGTTAAAGGTTTGGACTAAGATATATAGGTATTTGTGGGCAAGTGAAGATGAATCAGTAGTATATAAGGTTTGAAGAGGCAACCTTATTAGAGTGTGTTGTATAAGTCTGGCACCCCTAATTAAAAAATCTGAAATCTAAAATGCTCCAAAATCTGAACTTTTTGAGCACGAGCATGACAAAAGTAGAAAATTTTACACATAACCTCATGTGATGATGGGTTGTAGCCAAAATGAAGGTGCACTACGTACTATATAAAATTATCATCAGGTATATATAAATCATAAGTCAATTTCATGTTTAGACTTGAGTACCATCCCTAAGACCTCTTATTATGTACACAGATATATTCCAAAATCAGATATATTCCAGTATCAGAAAAAATCTGAAATCTGACATAATTTCTGTCCCAGATATTTTGGATTAGGGATATTCAAGCTGTAGTACAAGTTAGTATTATACACATTTAGATGGTAATAGTTTAAACTGCCAAGTGGCAACATAATGCTTGGCTATTAAAGCTCTTTTGACATCCTGCGTAATGTACAGTAAGTCTGGTGTAGGATAATGTGCTACCAGACAAGCTGATGCTAAAAGAGTGCTGCTGTAAAAGCAAAGATTATGTAGCCTTGTGTTAGAACAAGGTCTCCCACTGCAGTTCTCTTTCCTACCCAAGAGAATTCAAGGTAGCTGTACTGCTTTTCCAAAACTGAAAAATACTTCTAGGAGGAAGGGGTCAAGGTCAAAACAGTCCAGTGCCTTTGTTATGTCCTCACAGGGCCTAAATCAGTCTAAATTAATGCATCTGCTAATATTGATTAGTTCTATCCTTTACCTAGAGCCAAGCACCCTTCCAACCCAATAAGCCCATCATTATATGTTAATCATTTTCAGGAGGACTAATATTTATTTTTAAGTAAATTTTATGCACTTACAGAAATGAAAAGACTCCCATAAACAACATTTAGAACTACTTTAATATACACTATAACAGTAACGTTTTTGCTTATAATTGGATGCAGACAGCATGGAGAAGTCTATTTCCAGCTAAACATTACCCATTCTTCCCTTAATAGACTAGAGTACAAATCATGTACAAAATGGGCTTTTTCTAAATGAAAGCAAAGTGCATCAGCTTCATCTCAGTGCACTCAGGCATCATTCACTTGGTTCGATCAGTGCTGCTGGAACACCTTCCCCGCTCCCTGTGTGGGAGGCAAGCTGCCCAAGCCTGCGTGAAATATTCAGAAGCCAGCCCAGTGCTCACCTTCGTCTGCAGTCTCGGGAGGCCTGTTGCTCTCGGGTTTGTTTGTGAGAGCACTGATCAGCTGCAGCTTCTCTCGTAGCTTGGATACCTGAGAATTTGAACTATCTTCTTTCTGCCCAAAACAAAGATAAAAGAGGGTTTAAGGTAAAGTAAGACCTCACCTCAATCTCCACTGTGTTCCTAGGGCCTATTTAGCGTATAGTGCTTGATCCTTAGGAGGTTTCTTCTAAAGGCAATGAAGGAATGAATCAGTGAATACTAGAGATACCTTTGGTGCTCAGTGTTGATAAGTGTCTAGCTGGACCCTTAAGGGAACATTATACTCCAGATGATCTGATTCACTGTGAACATTTGGCTGATGACGGGGGCATGTGTGGGTCAGCAGTAAAGGAAATATACCCTTGCTCAGGTGTCTGTGAGATACCCATTTCCTAGGTGACGAAGATACTGTTTTCTAGGAGCTACTTCACACTAAATAAATAACTATCCTGAATCTCTCATATCACCTTGTGACCGGACCCCTAAAGCAAAGCTGTAGGCTTTTATCACCTGAAAAAGAAAAAAGCAGCAGAACCCAGACAAACCACAAGTATTCCCCCAATCCTTCCTGTCCCCTATAGTGATGATTGAGCTGCTGTAGCAAGTATCATTAACATGAACAAACAGTGATATTTCTAATTCAATGTCTTACTTCCTTGTATCTTTCTCTTAGACTCTACCATGGTCTCAGGATGATCTAGAGTGGCACAAAAAAATACATTTAATTATAAAATGGGAGACATCTTGTTTTTCTGAGGCTAGTTTCTAACTGCTCACACTACTGTGAAAAGGCTCAATCCTATATTTATTGGAACAAGACTACATCTCACATTTCTTTTATTCAATATGTGTTTACTTGTCTCTCTCCTATCTTTACTTCTACCCTAATAGTTATTGTATAGTAGGTCACTCGCTCTATTTAGGAAGCTCCAATATGAACATATATAAAGAAAACTAGGTATTAAACCCTTGAGGAATTAATGGTAAGGAGAAACTGTAGGACAAAGGGACTGATATATCAAGATGGCAGTTAAAAACACAAGGTTTCAAAGTAAGGCCAAGAAATTTAGCCAATATGTACACTGGCATTGTATTATATTTACTGTTAAAATGTGAACTACTGAAATCACCTGTTTTTCTAATACTATCCATCTGTTACTTTTTTGTGCTTAACATTTATTTCTTGTCATTCTCTAAGTGCAGAAGTAGTTAGAAAACTCAAAAAGCACATCTTATGATGCACTGAAACCTTAAATATATGTGACTTTATCAGGTCAATACAAAATTTCTAAGGGTGAAAAAATAAAGCTAGAAAGCATTATGTCAAAAGCTGCCTGTTCTGTGGTTCTAGTCCAAGTTCATTTCTTCTGAACCTCATATCCTCTGAATTTCTCAAATGTGCATTATCAGATAACATTTTGGTCACTCAGTCACAATCTTCCTGGCTTCTCCTTTATTTAGCCCAGGACTTATACTATTAAATGGTATTCCAGTTATAGAATGCTGCAGTCAAACTTACTTTCCTGGTGCAAAGGCAAGCAGAAACACCAAAATGACACCCAGAATTTGGAGATAGATTTATTTACATTGATGGGCACCAATTGGGATCATTCCCAGAATATCACACTCTGATCTCTGGTGGTCTAGGGCTTTTATATGATGCATAAGCAGGAGGTAAAAGGTGAGATCAAACAGCGTGGAAGTTCTTCTGATTAGCTAGCATCATGAGATCATCGATTACAAGGGTAGGTTAATGATCATCAGTTTATGAAGCTTGGTACAATGGTACAATCAGGCATCCTGCATGTTTGGTTATGCTCTTGTGGTTGCAAGGGTCAAGAAAGTAATTGCAAAGACATGAAGCAGTTACAGAGCTAGGTAGTTGCAAAAGAAAGAAGTTTTAAAAAAACAATTTCTCTTGTACAGTTTTTCCCTTTTACTGGTATATCAAAGCATATCATAGACTGCTTATTTTATATAGCCAGTCTATCTGGGTAGATACGAGGTAACAGGAACTGGTAGAAGTTTAAATGGACTAGAAATGTATTGAGATTGCAATCTAAAGATAGGAAATGATTTTGAGGTTGGGCACCATTTTTAGATTATCTATGTTTCTGTCCTATCATTAGTACAGATGACTACCTGAGTTTAAAAGTCATTTTCTGAAGGAAGCCTCCCTGACTTTTTTTTTGGTACTGGGAATTGAACTCACGACCTTGTGCTTGCCAGGCAGGCAGGTGCACCACTGAGCTATATCCCCAGCTCCCTGACTTCTGTTAACCCTCCCTCACTTCTTTTATGATCATCCCTATGCTTTTCCTTTGTAGCACTTCTCAGACTTATGATTGATAAATTGATTTTTACTTCTGATTAAGCCACCTGTTTTTTACCTTTATGATTTGGGTTTTTATGGTATCAGTTCTGTTGGTTACTTGATCCAAAGATTCTCGTTTCAGAGTAGCAGCCCTATTGCCCATCTTAAAGGGCAAAAAGAACAAGAGGAAAAGATTAAAGATGGTGATTAAAAGTTGACTGACATCTAGTACATTAAAACAAACTGGTCAAGGTTCTTTTTGAGACAGGATCTCACTATGTAGTTTAGGCTGGCCTTGACCTCACTATGTAGCCCAGGTAGGCCTTGAACTTGTAGTGATCCTCTTGCCTCCACCTTATGCACGCTCACTTGCATGCGTGTGCTGCAACACTTGGCCAGTCACGCTTACTTAGAGGGTCTCAGATCATTTTCAACAGAAATGACAGAGAAGTAGGAGAATGGGAAGAAAGAGGGAGGAAGGCCTCCCTTGAGGGCCTTCCCTCAAGGGAGGGATAGAAAATGGAAACTGGTGCCTCTAGTTGTTTCAGTCAAAAACTCTGAAATATAAAAGTTGATAAAACTTTATCCAGCTCCATGGTGGGCACAATGATGTTGAACATAACAGTAGGAACCATGGATATTATTACCAATTTTCTTCCTGGAGAAAAATAAAACAGGGAGGACAGGGACAATAAGGGGAGTTTGCCTTAAAAACTTTCAACGCATAATATTTATAAAATCATTCAAGGCTCCTAGGTCCTACTTAGCTTAGCTGAGTTCAAAAGGCCTTTTGTAAATAGGGCTCCTTTAATCTTTCCAGTTTTGTAGTAAATTAAACACCCCTGTAAGGCAGGAGGGGAAATGGGAGGGGAATAGGTCTTCCTACTCCACCCTTCAAAGCCACGTCAGCTTGCCAGGGCTCTTCCGTGGCAGAGCCAGTTCAAACGTCCTTGCCATGTGCCAGAGTTTGACTCTCCTTTTGGGCTTGCTTCCAGCATTGCTGGTTGCTTGAATTTATACTATAATTTCCTGTATTTGGTTTCTATTTTATTTTAATATATGCTTGTATCTTTGTGTATGAAATCTTTAAGGTGAAGCCTGCAGCTGTTAAAAATAATTTATAGGGTTCCCACTGTAATATATATATGAAAGGTAATTTAAAAAAATTCTATCCACAAGAACATGAAAACCAGTAAACCATAGACTGGCTACTTATTAAGTCAGTTAGTAAAATGAGGAGCTGGACTCAATGACCTTGTAAGTTGATCTGGTCTGATCTGATCTAGTTTAAATGCTTTCTTGACATTATGTATAAAGAGCTCCCCCTAACTTTCAGATAAAAGTAGGATAAATCTGAAAGCCAAGTTCAGGCTTAAAGAAATGGCAAGAGATTTTTTGTAATAGTCACTGTCATTGCTCCCACTTCTAATACTTTGAAAAGGAAAATATTAAGAAGATGTACCTTTGGAAATATTGCCAGAGCCTCCCCACCAGATGGGCCACTGTAGTGTAACAGATCTGTCATCTCCGCCAACCACTTGGGCTGAGACCTCGGCAAATGTCTTGACCCCTAAATATCTCCCTTTCCAAATTGGACTGGTACTGCCTATGCGAGTCACATCACAGAACTAGTGTAAGCATTAAAGGAGACATGGCTTAAGCATAATACAAATGTGTAGCCTCTCAAATATGCCAGCAGACTGTTCTCAAAAGGTCAAAATGTCACCTAGGTACAGATGAAACACAAAGCAATATACAGATCATGTCACAAAAAATCTGAAAAGCTTACCATGCTGGAGGTCAGGTTTGCTCTCTTTTCTATCTTGGTCAGAGCAACCATATCACTTTCTATCAGGTTGACTCTTTTGGTAACATTACTGAGTGTTTCATTCATTCCCTTGACCTTAAGATCATTCTGTCTCTGGTACACCATTAGGGCACTATTTACTTCTTCTACAGAGTTATGAAGGTACAGGATATCCTAGAGTGGAAATAAAGCAAGTTGCCGAATCCAGCTAAAGATGCTTATTAGGTAAGCAGGCTAATAGCACTGAACAACCATTATTGTGTCAAGTTATTGAAGCAAACTCCTTTTCCTGGTTGTGAACATCAATTGTCTGTCTCTGCTTTGTCCCTCACACTCTAAACTGTTCCTGGTTTACTCCCTCTGGAGTTGTTTGACCTCAGATAGATAGCAAGGGAAAGAGGGAAGAGGGCTGCCTACATGATTATCTCTCTGGTCAGAAAAAAGTGAAGAGTTTGGGAATTGATTACCCAATGTTTTCCTCACTTGCTGGCAGGAAAGCCTGCTGGGTTATTAACGGAAAGTCCCATTAACCTAATTTGTCAGAACAAAACTACCTTAGGAACAATACCAATTACTGAATTGGCTCATGTAAAAAACTATAACAAGTAGTACATTATTTAGTACAAGCTTCAATTATTTTTATTGACATCCGCAAGTACTGATTGCTACTTAAAAAGGAATGATGACTATAGGGCTTAAAGGGCATTAAACTCAGGACAGAAATTCTTCTTAGTGGAGATTTCCTTTATTCTCTTTAATGTGATTTTAAACTCAATATTCTTTTTTCTCCTCTTTTGTCTTTCATCTTTGGACTTTAGAAAACCTCAGTTTTTAAGGCTATGCTTCCTATCATTCTTAGGATTATGGTGGTTCAAAATAGCCATTGCTCTGGAATAATCTGCTACACATCCATTTTTGACTTGCCCAGATTGCTATTTTTCATAGTTTCAGGATAATCTGGTCATTCTGTCTTTCAAGATGGGAAAAGGAATTTACTCCATTGACTGACATTCAGAGGAAAAAGCAGAGTGTCAAGGAAGAGACAGGGTGGCTTTCTGGATCCCCAAGGTACCCCACACACATCTCTCTGTGCTAAGCTCTCAGACAGGCAAAGAGATAGATGAGCTCACACTCCTCAGGTTGCCTCCATAGCCCACTATAGTATAAAGACAAAAAAGTACCTGTTTCAAATTCTCACTGTGGGTTTTATTGTCAAGTTCTGATGTAGCTGAAGGTGTTGGAATGATCTGGTTGCTTCTGTTGGTCTCCTTCGAGAAGTGCTGATTCTGTTAAAATGGATGGAGGTTGGGAGTAAGTTGTTACTAGGTCTACCGAACCATCTAGGGTGGTTGTGGGACATTCTAGCCTCCCACAACCACCCTAGATGGGGTGATCCACACATTTTAATTAGAAGCACCCTGTGAACCTATAGTGTGGCCAGTCTTATGTTAGGCCCTGGGGGTACCACAAACTTTTGGGGATGCCCAGCCTTAGCAATGGACAGGACCAGTAATGCTCAGATTATTCCAGGGAACTGAGACCCTCCTAGTCTGTCTCTTATAATGGAATGAATTGAACAAAATATTTCTCCTTTCCCCTGCCACCTGCGCTCCCAGAGAAACTGAAGAATCACTAGAATGTTCCCATGACCAACTCAGTCTGAATCTGGGATGGTGCCATCATTTTCACTAGTCCAACAGGGTTTCAACATCACAAAGCAATCAATCATGTAACCACGGGCATCAGGCAATGAACACAACCACTGATCCTGTGTGTTATAGTGTTTCCCTTATGGCACATGCCAAGATCTGTGTTGGAGGGTATCCTTCCTTTCCCACCCCCCCCACTACTCTAGTCTCTCTTTGTAGAGATGAAAGTGTAACATGCTTATACTGTATATATATTTTCACATTAGTGGGAAAAACTGCCTGTCTGAATCCTTCACTGTCTGTAACTATAACTGAGTATAAAATATGTCAGTATTTGTGTTACTACTGGTAGCCATGGAAGTTTAAAAGAGGTAGATTAATTACAATAGAATATAATTGGTAAAAACAAATTGTTTCCTTTCAATATAAAATCCTACACATTTAGCAAACCTGTTTTTATAATACATAAAAGCAATGTTAAAGAGAAAAAAAGGAAAACTCATGATTTTAGAAAGCAGAATTTTTCAGCTGGGAAGAGGCATTCCAGAAAATGGTTCATTACTTGAGAACACACTTAAGATGAAAGAATTGCTGAGCCAAAGGTTCCTTATTGTTATGGGTCATGGACTTATACAGTGGCAGAGAGAACCAGAAGCCAGGTGTCTGGACATTAGATCAACGTTTTTCCCTCTGGGTGAGCCCCCACTGAATAACAAGAGTACTGGTTCTGAAGAAAATGAAAATTCCTCCACCGTAGAGTTCTCTTAAAGAGCTCAGTTATCCTTAGTACAAACGTCCCAGTTTAAACTTATAACTCTGAATGCAACAACATGTGGGGCAGATATAGAAATTAATCAATAGGCTAGGGAAGTTTTGTGTGCCTCAAATAGTGCTGATTTCATGTACATGTAACATCTTTCCAGAGACAGCAAGGGTTGTGCTGCCCTTTTTCACTGTTCATAAAACTTTCACGAAGCTGCTACCCACTGATCAATTAAGGTCTCTGAATGACTATGCACAGCTTACATCTAGAGTAATATTAGCAGACCCAGAGATATTTAAAAACAATTCCTGGGCACTGCAGGGTTTTGCTTCTGCTTTAGCTATCTGTCACTGCATAATTAATCATCTCCAAACTTTAAGGCTTAAAACAACAACTGATTATTTCACATGGTTCTGTGGGTTAAATGTGCTCAGCTGGGTTGGATGCATCTCCTAGTCCATGTGGCACAGGCTGAGATCACATGTATGGTTGCATTCCACTGAGGACTGACTGGAGTTGGAACATTCAATATGGCCTTGCATCCTCCAGATCACCTCTTCCCTTGGCCTCTCAGCACTTGGGCATAAAAGAACCCGCCTAAGTTCCTGATGTTCAGAATAGCTGGAAATCATAACTTGTGTTGAGGTGGTCTGTTATGTAGCACCAAATAAATGAGACAATTCTCTACTTCCTTTTCCTTCTTTCCTATTTTCCATGCTACCCATTCCATCCTCAGTAACTCAATAATTTATCATCATCTTCTCCAGTACCTGTTTGCCAGAGATTCACTCTCAATTCTAAGCTAACTGCTTAATTTGCAGACTGAAGAACAATCAGTACATGTTACTTAGTAGATCTTTTAAACAGGTGCATAGTTTGTCCTGTTCAGGTCAGTGGAAAGTTGGTATCATGACTCTTGCACAGAAAAGGACAGCAACATGTTGCCTTTCTGTAGCATTTACAGACTTCCTTACCATATCACTCTGCAGTAATTCCATGGTTTTTTTGTGTTCGTCTACAGTTTTCTGTATTGTCTCCACAGCAAGATGCACGCTGTTCAGAGTATTACCAATGGAAGCCACACTCTGAATGGAGAAACATATAGGAATGTCAAGTGTTTTCCCTTCTTAAAAGTTGTAGGAAGATGTGACATGCAATAAACTACACATATTCAAAATGCATAGCTTGATTATTCTGACATAAATACACCTGTGAGACTACTACCATGATCAAGTAAACCTATAAATCCTCTCTTCCCATTTCCAGGCAATCTCTGATCTACTTTCTGTCACTATCGATCAGTCACATTTTATAAAATTTTACATAAATGCAACCAGTGAGTACGCATTTTTTTAGTATGGCTTCTTTTACTCAAAATAACTGAGAGTCATTAATGCTGTAGTTACTTAGCATGCTGCATTCCACTGAAAGGCTATATCAATGTGTATTTACCTGCTGAGGGACATTTAAGTTGTTTTCAGTGTTTATGATTATAGTAAAACTGTTATAAACATTCTCATACAAGTTGTTACCTGGCGGTATGCCTTTTTTTCCCTTCATTATTAGCCTTTTTTTTGTTTGTTTTTTTGTTTTTTTTTCTGGTACCAGGAATCGAACTCACGACCTCATGCTTGCCAGGCAGGTGCTGTGCTGCTGAGCTAAATCCCCAGCCCCCATCATTAGCTTTTGTATCATCACAATATTTAGGAGGAAATGGCTGATCATATGGCAGATCTATGCTCAACTGTTTAAAATACTGCCAAACTGACTTCTAAAGGAACTATACTGTACCATTTTACAGTCCCACCAGTAGTTTAAGAGTTCTCATTATTCTATACCCTCATTAATACTGGTACTGTTTTTTCAATTTAAGTTGTTAGTGTTATATTGTGATTTTAATATATATTAAACATGAACCTAATGTAGATCAGTATTTTTTTTTTTTTTTTGGTTTTTTTCCGGTACCGGGAACCGAACTCACGACCTTGCGCTTGCCAGGCAGGTGCTTTGCCGCTGAGCTAAATCCCCAGCCCCTATATCAGTATTTTTAATTATTTCAAATATTTTCAAACTATGACTGCCATGTAACTTATACTGAGATAGTTAATAAGAAATGTTCTCTCTCTAGTTTTGTACATATACACATATACCAGGCAATTCTCAATTTAAAGGAAGTTTCCTACAGAAAAACCAAATGTTCCGTAAAGAAAAGTCAAATGTTTCTTAAAGAAGAGATATTAGTTTATAAATGTGGGACCTATAGATAAGATTCCTCATAAAATACTTCTGTCAAGGCCTATGTTGGGGGTCAGATGCCAGAGTCAATACTGTAGACTGTCACTGGATCAGGAACAAGTGACAACTTTTGAGGAAATGGGTAGGAACAATTTTTAGCTCTGAGAAATCCAGCATTGCAGAGATGAAGGAAAAATTCCACTTGGCAGTGTTTCCTTTACTGTAGAATCCTGTCAGTAATTACTGGGCACAGCTAGATACGGGGGTGACTTACTTTGCTTTTATGAGACCTAAGCAGGCCAAGTACATGGGGGACGTGATTCACAAGACACTTTTTTTTTTTTTTTTTAATAAAGCCATGTCCTTAAAGGAGTACCCCAAAGTGTGCTACTATCTGGTGGGTTCTGGCCTTTATTAAGACCTGCTGATAATTTATACTGCCATATTAGTATTTCTAACCAATGTAATTTTGTATTACACTGATATACAAGAATCTATGAGAATAAGAGATAACATTTTCAACTAAAATTAAAATTTCAATTCAAAAGAAATTACATACACTTTGAAGCTATGTGTTTGGGATGACTTAACACTGCAACATTGGGCTGCCCGTAATAAAAGCCATGTGCAGCATCATCAACGCATAGATTTGCAGAGACAACATACTGGGCGGAAGTCTCTAAGCTGGGATGCCATGTAAATGTTTTGTTCAAAAGCTATATTCAAAGACATGTTCTGTTAGAGAATTCTCACTGGCTGGATGTCTGAGCCCATCAGGATGCATGAAGGTAGTAAGCTCTTATTTAGGAAGTTTTTTTTTTAAAGGAAGCAGCTGACTGAGTCATGAAAAGTATGGAATGAAACTCTGAAACTAGTATTCCCAACTACAAAGTGCCTGGTACATACTAGAGGAGGCTCCACAAACGATTATTGAATTAATGAATGCAAGGACAAATTAACTTGTTTTTTTAATACAAGGTTGCCAGAGTTGCTTCTATAAAACTACAGAGGCCTGCCCATGGCTGGCTATAGAGGCCTACCTTTTTCTCCACTGGCACTTGGGAATGATGGCAAGAATCTGGCCTTGTCAAAGTTGTTCCCACCCTTTTTTTAAATGTTGAAAGCAGATGATCATATTGGATGCATGTGAACTGCAAAGACTGAGCATATGTGGATACTGTAGCTATAAAATACCAACTTTTATTTTTGTTTATGGCTTCACAATTCTAGAAACAACTTACATGTTTCTAGATAGCCTGGAGCCTGGCATATAATCAAATCAAAATCACAAACTAACTTTTTTTTCTTGAGACAGGGTCTCACTGTGTAGTTCAGGTGAGCCTTGAACTCACTATGTAGTCCAGGCTGGCCTTGAACTTGTGGCTGTGCAGCCTCAGCTCCCCGAATACTGGGATTATAGATGTGTGCCACCATGCCCAGCCATGCTAACTTTCAAAAGTCAAGGGTACTAGACTTAATATCCACTGTTTGGGGTTTTCTTACTCCTGCATCCCTTCTTCCTGCTGTAGGAATGTTCCTTGTGTTTATTTCGGCACCTTCCTCTCCCTTACAGCTCCTATCCACTCTCCCTGGGCAGCTTTAAGGATTCCCAAACATTATCTGCTTGGTCCTTGCCTCCAGCTCGAGGCCTGAATCCTTGGAATCAAGTAAGCAGAAATTCCAAATGATTTTCCGCCTAGGCTCTACAGTCTAGGGTAGACATCTGTGGCTGATTTGCTTATAGGATGTGCATGTTCACCTTTACAAGAATAACATCAAATTGTTTTCCAAAGAGATTTTTTCCAATTTATACTCTCTAGTAAGACTGTTTGAAAGTACCCTTTTACTTCATACCCTAGCTAACACCTGTTCCTGAAATGTTTCATTTTTACCTTTACCTTGACTCACCTTGTTTTTTAAAAACACAGTAACAAGAAATTCCCAACTTTTTCTCAATCATATCCAATTTTTTTTTTTTTTTTTTGGTACTGGGAATCAAACTCGGGACCTTGCACTTGCCTGGCAGGCGCTTATGTCACTGAGATATATCCCTGGTCCATTTCTCAACCATAAAAGAAGAAATTTAGAGCAATTCTTATATATAATTTAGGTTCTTTTATGAAGATACTGCAAATGACAAATTGAAAAGGAAATTGCTGAAAAGCAAACACATGTATGCTAATATAAGAGTTTTGGTAGAGCAATCTGGGGACTCAGAGAGACAAATGAAAAAGTGTGAGCTCATATAGACCACAGCTAAAGTAACTTGTTGCAAATTAATGGCCTGATTAACCAGACCACAAGAAAGATGCTCTGAATTCTTTAGGACACAATGCTCCTCTCAGGGCAGCTGGTTTCAAATGTCAGAAGCTAGAATTGAAGGAGCAGGTTAATCTCAGTACCCACACATAGCACTTACCTTCTGAAGTCCCTCAACGGTATTGGGCAGGCTAATTAGGTCTGCAGCTGACTTGACATTGGCTTTGAGGTGGTTTACTGCAGAAGTCAACTGAAAAATCTGGAAGGAAAAAAGCAACAAGCAATGAATACAGGATTTATAGAGTATGTACTTCTTTCATAAACTTTGTGGTTGATGATGTCAGTGTACCCTGGCAGCTCATAGGAGCAGAGGAGCTATAGTACCTTGGCTAGAGCTGAGATTTGGAAGGCAGCAGTAATACCCCTTCCTCCCCTGCCCAATTTAAGCTAGTGCCAAAGAGGGAAAGGCAAGTATTATTCTTTACCCTAGTCTTGGCAGCTATAAGGTCCAAAAATCTTAAATTGCCCAAAAGATGCAGTAATTACCATACGATCCTTCAACAATTGAAGAGGAAAAAAGCTAATGATCAAGGACCACTTCAAGATTTCATTTTGGTAAAATACAACACCTCAGTTATTTAACTGAACTTTTGTTCCTGTCCGAGTGGGAACATATTTTATAAAGTAAAAGCCCATCACCACAAAATAGAGTCTACATATACTGTATCCCGACAACCTGAACAGTACTTTCAACTGCTTGGGGATTTGGTTTTGGTTTAATAATGTGATTAATATTTCAGACTCAATAGCTCAACCAAAGTACTCCTTTGTACCCTGAAGGCTCAATAAATACCCATTGACTCACTGACTGATGCAATGAATGTATTACAATAAGAACCGAATAAAATTGTGGCTTCCTTTCTGCTACTTAGGGGTAGAATTCTAAATAAATGGACTACTCTCTTGAATGGGGGCTGGGAGAACCTGCATAACGTTCAATTTCAGGCTGCAAAGACCATATTCTAACAATTCTTACAGTGTGGCTTAAAACACTCTTCAAAGATTCTTGGTTCCAAACTGCTCTCCTATTCCAAATTCTAGAATGACAACACAGATCTAATAATAGCAATTAGAAGAGCGCCTTGTAGAGTAACCATCCCAGTTTCTGAGCACTTGCTATAGGCCAAATGGACATTAGACCAAGTAGAAACTGATTCCCTATCACTCCCTCAACAAATGCTTGGCAACTTCTCTGTACCAAGCACCGCTACCGGCACTGAGGAGACAGTGGCAAGCCAGACTGTGGGGCTTTGCTCTCATGGAGTTTAATCCTAGTAGCAGGTGACAGAAAAACAAAGAATCAGTAATAAGTCGGCCTGAACAAAGGAGTCCAGTGAGGTATCTGGTAACTCAGGAACTCAGGTTCTCATTTCCTTCTTTCCCTTTAGGAGGGGTGAATGCACAGGGTTAAGACCATTTTAATTTATTCATTCATTAATGCAACAAATATTTATCAAGCCCTATTATATATTTTTTGTTTTTGTTTTTTTTTTGAGACCAGGTCTCACTATGTAATTCAGGCTGGCCTTGAACTCACTATGTAGCCCAGGTTGGCCTTGAATTTGTGGCAATCCTCCCGCCTCAATCTCCCGAGTCAAGCCCTATTATATACTAGTAGCGAACAATGTAGGTTTTAGGAATCTTTGTGGTGCCTATATTTCAGACAATTTTACATATGAAAAACATCAAGTAGAAGTGACTGGGCAGCTACTTTATATCAGAAGGTTAGAGAAGGGACCAGGTGTGGTGGTATATGCCTGTGATCTCAGCACTCTGGGAGGCTGAGGCAGGAAGATTGCAAGTTTGAGCCTAATCTGGACAACTCAGTAAGACTCTATCTCAAGAGAGGCTGGAGAAGTAGCTCAGTGTGAAGGCCCTGAGTTCAAGACAGTACTGCAAAAAAAAAAAACAAACCAAAAAAATCCCCCCAAAAACCAACCCCCCGTGAAAAAGAGAAGGTCAGAGAAGGGGTCTATAAGGAAACAGAATTTAAGTAGATCTATACAATAAGAAAGAATTAATCATACAAAGGTTGGATGTATACCTCAGGGCAGAGGAAATTACTAGGGCAATTCAATGAAAGTGCTTGGTATATTTAAAGGACAGAAAGATGTTCAGGTGGTAGAATTTGGCTAGAGATACAGCAAAAGGCCAGAACAGGTAGAAAGGCCTTTGTAAATCAGAATAAAGATATAGATTGTATTTGAGCTGTAATGGGAAGGGGGGCAAGGCGGATAATTACATGATTGCAAATACCTTGTGTGAATATTACTATGGTTGGCTGGTGGAAACAGGAGTCCAGAAAGAAGGTGATATGGGTAGTCTGGTAAGAGACAATGGAGGTTTGGACTTCACTTGTATCAGAGGTAGAAGCAGAAGTTAAAAAGACATGATTTGCTGGGACTAGATATGAGGGGTGAGAAGGAGAAAAGAATTAAAGAAACTCCTAAACCTTTCACTTCAAGGAGCTGAGAGAGAGGGCCCATTGAAGGAATAATTGTTGACTGTGACATTAGGTGAAGTTCTGAATAAAGTGATACTAGTGGAGGTAGAAAGGGATAGGCTTTATTGAAGTAGGACTCCAATTAGACTCCGATGGAAAAGTTAAGTTTTATATACAAAAATAAAGAAGGTGCTGAATGTGGTGACACATGCCTGTAATCCCAGCACTCAGGAGGCTGAGGCAGGAGGATTGCCTTGAGTTCAAGGCCAGCCTAGGCTACACAATGAGACCATCTCAAAAAAAAAAAAAAAAAGCAGCCAATCTTTCTAGGTTAGAAGTGTGAGCGGCACTGGAGAAAAGTAGGGAACAACAGCACCATAGGTTCCGCAGTACTTTTCCTACACTTCTCAAAGAGACAATGACTTAATTATTGAGGTTTCTCTCCTCCACAAGACTGTAAACACCATGTGATCAAGGACCATGCCTGTTTTATGTTCCACAATATGCCTGTCACAAAGACAGAAATTCAGTAAACATTTACTGAATGAAGAGAATGAATGGCTAAGGACTAATACTTGGGATGGATCCTGACGTGGCTAGTCCCAAACAGAGTAGAGGGAAAGGCCAGGAGGTTAGAGATAAAGTTAAATAAGAAATGAATTAATTTTTCTCACCAATAAAATGCTGTGCCTATGATGACAACAACAACATCATCAGCAAAACAGTTTACTAGCCCCTGCAAAGGAGAGTGTGATGGTTTGAAAAATGTATCTACAAATTCTGTAATAGTTTGTCCTTTAAGATGGAACTTAATTCCCTTCCCCTTGAATATGGTATAGGCTTAAGTGACTTGCGTTTAGTGAAAAGACTAAAATGGAAGTGACCATTGGCAACTTTGGAAACGAGGTCATTCGTCAAAGGCACTGCTGCAACTATGGCTTGTCTGCTCTCTTGGATCACTCACTCTGGGAGGCTAGCTGCTGTCCTGTGAGGGAACCCAAACAGCCCCAGTTGGGAGGAACGGAAATCTCTTGCCAATAGCCACGAGAGGACCTTCCAGGCCTATTCAAGCCCTCAGATGAGGAAGCCCTGGCTGATATCTTAGCCTTAGAGATCCTAGCCAGAAACATTCTGCTTAGCTGTTCCCAAATCCTGACCTACAGAAACTGAAAAGAATAAATGCTTGTGTTTTAAGCCACTAACATTGGGGATGAAATTAATCCAGCAACAGATGACTAATATAGATAAGAAGAATGAAGTGCCATATATAACTAAACCTCTCAGCACAGTACCTCACACAAACAAGTGACAGTTATTAGTAGTGAAATTTAATGAGTACTTAAACATGTAATTCTCCATAAGTGCTCTAAAATATGCAGACTAGTATCAAATTCTGACTTTATGCCCTTAAAAACAGAGATGAAAAACATCAACTGACAGGGAGATACTTTCAGCAAACTGTAAACCTCTTAAAACTAATAATTACATCAAAGAAGTTTTCACCTATCCTTTTAAGAAGATATGAATAATACTATGGTTTGAAAAGGACATAAAGAAACAGGCATTTTTATTCATTGTGGGAGCATAAATCAGAGGAGCATTTTCAGAAGTTTATCTAGGAATATCCTTCAAAATTTGAAGTGTTTAGGTTCTTTATTCAGCAACTTCATTTCTAGAAATCAATCCTGACAGACTACCTGCTCACGTGCACAAAGACACACGCACTAGGACATTCATGTCTTCTTTATTTGCAATAGCAAAGCAACTAGAAACAATCTAAATGCCTATCACCTAGAATGTAGATACATTTGGTGAACAAAGCAAATGGCAGTAAAAACATTGAACGACTCCATTTATTTATACTCACAGGCTAACCCATAAGCTAATTCATATTAAAAGCTATTAAGGCTTTGTAAATGCCTAGAGGACTGTAGAAGTGCAGTGCTTCTGACGGATGGTGGATAACTATGAGGATGGAGAGTGCAAAGGACAGAGTGTGTACGTGTGTGTGTGTGTGTTGGGGAGAGACAGATGGGGACTGAAGGGAAATTTGCATGAGTTCTATATGTATTTTCTTTCTTAAATCTTATATATTCACATATTATAAATTTTTAAAAGACAAAGGATGAAAAAAATATGCATGAAAAAAATCACATGATTTTCGGAAGGGTTTTGATGGGTTTCCTTGGCTGCCCCTTTCTTCTGAGTCCTCCATTGGGCCTTCCAAGACCATCTGGGCACACCATGAGGTGGTGGGGAGGGCATGTTTTGTTGCCCTAAAGTATGTACATAATCAGCCCCAAATCAATTTGATGGACAAGAGTGCAGTTATTCCAAGTGCTCTAATTGTGTAAGTACCTCTGAGGCAGCTTGAAGTGAATGCAGGCACACCATGCCACACTCAGTCTAGGCTTTAAACTGCCTCACTTAAAGAGTGGACTGAGGAGAGCTGACCATCAGCTCTGCAGCTAACCAACACACTGAGAGCGTCTTACTCATAAGACCCAGGTCATACACTGGTCACTCAGACTCAGCTATATTTCCATATATTACAAAGCTGGATCCCATCTTCCAGTCTTCCTCTCTTCAGTGCAGTAATGCCAACATCTGGGAAATTACAGCAAGTCCATGTGCAGAACTGGAATGGGAAGATGAGGGGCACCTTCCCATTACTGTCTCTAGCACGGCTCTGGCCTCTGTAACAGGCATATCCTAGAATGTCAGGTTGGATTCAAGAACACAAAATGTACTGCCAGGAGTCACTTTTTTGCACTTTGAAGTCTAAAAAGTTGAATTAAATAGAAACCATTAAGAAAAAAACTCACATTCTAGCCAAAAGATGAATCATGGCTTTTATGCATATTACATGATTTTTCATTAGCAAAATTGAAAATAGCCACTATAGACCATTTGATTAATATATCATTTTATACTACAAAGTCAGAAATGCTGTTTTTTTCCCCCTCTGGGTTTAAAATTAAGTATTCTTTAAATAGCAAAGAAAAAGCTACTAAAACAATCATCAAAGCTGAATGATTATGAGTAGGGACACTCCCACGCCCACAACCCCTCAGGAATCCAACATCGTATCCTTTCAACTTATCTACTGAGTACCTACTGAATCCTGTAAAGGACATAAAGATGGGAGTCAGAATGGGAATCTGGAAAGAGGCTCTCAAGACAAATATTTTAATGTTAGACTCTTATGCAGCTGTGCAACTGTGGGCAAACTAACCTCTTAGAGCCTCAGTTTTCTTATCTGTAAAATGAAATACCATTTCTACTTCATAGAAACAAAGAAAGCAGATCACACGTAAGCGTATCTAACAGTAGCCCACACAAGGAAACATTTAATGAATGCCAGCTGTCATCTTCATTACCATCACCAGCCCCGCGGCCGCTGCCATCATTTTCGTTATCATGCCTAAGGCTCAGTACAATACACAACCTTCTAGTCCAATTAGACACACACACCATAACCTGTTGGTAGTTTGAAATCAGAAATACCGGCCTCCACAAATGTGAGCAATGAACTTCTGTTCTTTATAAGTTAGCTACTCTGAGATAATTCGTTATAACAGTTTAAATGGACTAAGAATCCAAAGCTTAGATCCATAGAAGTAGTTTAGTAAATATTTATTGAATTAATGATCTTCAAAGGGAAGGAGACTCCCTATAATGGTGGTGGGGGATGAGTACAAAATCAGAGATTTCATGAATAAAACAAAAATATAATAAAACTTCAACTACTAAGACATTTTTTCAAGGAAAAGTTCAATTTAATTTTTTTAAACTGATGGCTTCTTTTGGACTGCATTACCTTCAACTCACATTGTGATAAGCAGGGTCCTTGTTAAGTGATGTATTTTCTTGTTGTGTAAGCAACTTCAAACTGCTTTTAAAAATGCCACTAAAAGCATCTTAATTGACAGTTACCTTTATAGAAACATAGCTAAATATTAATTTTGTACCTATTTTGTTGAAATGTCTTGTACTCAAACAGACCATGTGAGATGTATGTGTAGTATTAACTTTAGAAAACCACTCAGAGTGCAGAGCTTCTGTTGCAAATGACATGAAACTCCGCTTAACTGTTGCCTATCTTTCTGAGCCCACATCAGCAGAAAATTCCTCTGTGTCAGGCTGGCTCCATCAGCCAGTCCCGGCATCTTTGAAGATATACCGCAGCCAAAATGGAAAGCATTTTGGTCCAGTCTTCCTCAGTTTCATATATAAAGACTTAGGACTGAAGTAAACTTTCCCCTATACCGGCATATCCAGGTACTTATTGCAGCCATTCACAATAGCTTCAAGAAAAATTAAAAAAAAAAATTAAATATTTAGGAATTAACTAAACAAAGGAAGTGAAATGAAAACTATGGTACTCTGAAAAAGGAAATCTAAGAGGACATCAGAAAATGAAAACTTATCCCCTGTTCCTGGATAGGCAGACTCAATACTGTCAAAATGGCCGTACTCTCAATTGATAAGTAAAATTTTGGATTGTAACTTGTTCTGTGAATGTTCTGCAAGACAAGCAAATGTTTCTAATAATTTTTTTTTTTTTTGATATAGGGTCTCACTTGTAATTCATGCTGGACTTAAACTCACTATGTAGCCCAGGCTGGCTTCAAACTCATGGCAATCCTCCTGCCTCAGCCTCCTGAGTGCTGGGATTATAGGTGTGTGCCACCACCTGGCTCTAATAAATTTTAACTTGATAAAGGAGTGATGTCTTGCTGTGACACTAAATGTCACATGGTCACAGTCAATGACTCTTTTCTCGCAACCCCACTTTCTCCTGCAGGATTGTGGGTAATCATCTCTGAAGAGCAAGAGGTTAAGGAGGAGGTCTCATCTGTAGAGGAGAAAAAGGCAGACAAATCTCTCACTTCAAATGAGACTAGGGAGATGTGTAAAAATGTACGAAACTGCAAAGTTTTCTAGAAATGCACCACCCTTGTAGCAGTGCAAGTGATATATCTGTTTAACAATAATGCAATGTTGCATTTCTACGAAATCCTCAAAAGGAAGCATTGGATAGGTTTCCTGTTAAACCTGCTTGAAAACAAAAAGAGTCTATTGAGCCAATAGATAGCAGTGATTCTGCTAGTAATAGTGAAAGTGAGCCTACACAATAACCCCCTTCTCTCTCCTCTCCCTCACACTAGCCACAAAGGTTTTCAAGGGTAAATGCAGGTTAATTTGTTTATTTTTCTTTATATTTTGTATTATATTATGACATTGTAATCATTTTATATGAATATTTTTGGGTTGTGGAATGAAGCATCTGAGTTTCTGTTATTTCTTATGAGGAAATTTGCTTTGATATACAAGTGTTTTGGATTACAAGCATGTTTCTGGAATGAGTTTTGCTCACAAACTAAGGTTTTACTGTACACAAATTTAATGCAGTCCTAGTCAAAATACCAACAGCATTCTCATAGGTGTTATAATCTATCAATTATTTCATTAATACATTTTTTATTCTTTTTTTTGAGACAGAGTCTCACTACCTAGTCCAGGCTGGCTTAAACTTCCTACATAGCCCAGGCTGGCCTTGAACTTGATATGGTCTGGAAGTCATGAAATTCCTGCCTCAGCCTCCAGAGGCACTGCTGGGATTACAGGAGTGAACTTCATGCATCATTTTTAAAAGCAAAATAAACTAAAAGATAATGAAATGTCATAAGACATCACACATGTTTGGGGTGAATCACTCTTTTCAGAAACTTTTACTTCAGTAACATCTAGTGTCTTAGTCCATTTTTTGTTGCTATAACTGAATACTACAGACTGGGTGACTCATAAAGAACAGAGGTTTATTTAAGCCTATGGTAACGGAAGCTGAGAAATCCAAGAACATGGCACCAGCATCTGGGGAGGGCTCTCTTGCTCTGTCATAGTGAAGGACAGCAGTCAGCCTGGTTTTCTCTTTCTCTTCTTATGATGCCATCAAGGGGGCCCATCTTTATGGCTCAGTTCTAATTACTACCCAACTACTATTAACATATGAATCTGGGGATTAAGTTTCCAACACATGAACTTTTAGGGGACATATTCAACCACTGCATATGGATATGTACATGTTTACTGGACAATTTTAAAACCTTCTTTACCGTGGGTTCCATGCAAAAGCTGGAAGGTACTTCCCCAGAGCACTGATTTTTGGTCTTAAGTACTGAACTGCCTCACTCCTAAACAATTATTGAAAAGTATAGCTTCAGAAATATTTGCAAGCACTTTCTTCTAGCACAGTGCTTTCTCCTACTGGCTCATTCTGAGCTTTATAATTCTACTATGAAGAAGAGAATACCTTCTTAGTCCCAACAAAACTGATGTGCTCATTCTTATGCACTTTGCATGTGAACTGTTCATTTGGTATGTGAGTTTTCTTTTCAATGACTGTATCTTTCCTAACTACACAAAAAATGAGTACAGGGCAAGTATGGTCCCTTCTACACAGGAAATGCTTTGTCAAAATCCTTAGAATAAAGTCCCCTTTCTCTGGTAGATTCATCTGGAAGCAATGCCTACTGAGCTCTGGCTAGTTTGGGGACTAGAAAAGTTTATACTCTAGGCTTGCTTGCCTGATCAAGGTAATTAACTAACTCTATTACCTATTCTAGAATTAATACTATTAGCTACTGATGCTTTACACATTTGGTTTAGTATAATTTATAGCACTATAACCTAAGGCTGCATCTGTAAGTTTGTAAACTATATTAAACAAAATAAACCTCTCATTGTTTAATAGTCTATTCATTCTCCTGGGAGCTAGAAAATACTCTTATTTGATACCCATACTGCTGCACAAGAAAAGCTAACTCAAGAATTTGTAACTCCCTACATTGGTTTAACTTGGTAGAACTCTTTATTTGCAGAAAGGGTTAACATTGTAAATATTTGGTAAATGTATAACTATTATGTATTTTAACATTTTTGGATCATAGTATGCAAAATCTCAATTTAAAAAGTGAAACACCCAAAGGTGAATTCCCTGCACCTACAAATTCAAACTAAAAAACCAACCAACCAAACCAAATATTCATAGCTTACATAAACATTAAAAAAACCCCACACTTTTGCTACCTGCTTATTCATTTCTGTGATGTTAATCCAGAGTTTGTTTAAGCCCAGGTCTCCAGATTCTATCTTCTCAAGTTGTTTTTGTTTGCTGAGAAGTTCTTCATTAAGTTTGGGGATTTCCTGGAATGAGCTTTTCTGGTTAGATTCCACTAAAAGCAAACAGAAGAAAAATAATCATAAACACCCACAAAGTTCCTTCAGGGTCCCAAGATAAAAAAAAAAAAAAATGACCATTCAGTAAGAAAGGAGATGTGTTAAGAAAAGTTAATTTTGGATGATAATGATGACATTTATATTTATCAACTACATTGTTCTTTTATTTATGTAAATGTGTATCTTTAACACTGAAGCATTTTAACTGGAGCTATCTCACTATTGGCAATGCAACCTTTAAGCTAGATGACTAAAACGTTTAACAAAGAACATGAGCAGAAAGAACTAGATCTGAATTTCAGCTCTATAACTTACTATAATTTTGAGTAAATTATTCAAATCCTTTGAACTCAGTATCCCCATCTATAATATGACTGTTAGAATGGCTGTAAAGCACTTAATGCAGCTGGCTAAACATACAGTAGGTGATAAATAAATACTGACCAGCTTAACTAAGGAACTTCTTAATGAAGATTTATGAACTTCATTAATGGTCAAGTGACATTATATCTCCAAATACTTAAATCTATTTTTCTATCTTAAATGGATTAACTGCAAGAGATCTTATAACATTTCAAATACTATTATGAAGACTAAGATTTTTAATCTTTCCCAAAAAGCAAATAATGTTTTCTTAAATTTAAAAATCAACCCAAAGTTTAAAATGAAATAGAAGATAAAGAACATGCTAGTGAAATAAAGCATGATATTTGGACTTTTCTTTGGGAAAAGTCTTTTCTTTGGGAAAAAAATATTTCTTGAATGGTTTAGAGATTTGCCAGCCTGAAGGTAGAGACCTGAGAGAGCACTTTCTCTTTTTTCTTTAAAAATCATTTTTCCTTTTAATGGAAAATAAAATATTGATAATGGCTGGTCCTCCAGAATAAAACCTGCATCATTTTTTTTTTTAAAGTCACAGACTACCTGATTAGTTATTATATGCTTCCTTTAAAACTAAAAACTGGCAAAAACGACCTATATAAAGCAATTTACTAAAATGTAAGCTCTAGAACTTGGTCTTGTTTATTTCTATATAGGGTACATTTTGAATACATTTGGCACATTTTAGGCACTCAAAAAGTATTCGTCACCTGAATAAATCTTTGCTTACCTCCCAACTACATTTCTTGTTACCTTATATGCTTCTTCAATCTAACAAAGAAAACTCAACAAATAAACCGAAACATACTTTATAATAACACACAAAAAAAACCCCACAAAAATTGAAGGTGGTGAGTTTTCAAGCCTACTAAATGAAAATTCAGAATAATTAAAGTTAGATATTTTTGTTTATTTAAAAAAATACTTGCCAAAGGATTTAATTATAAATAAATAGGTGTTTCTAAGTGCTTTTACTGTAGAATATGAGTTACACATGGTTTGCAGGAATATAGCCATCTCAGACAGTGAAAACATTTTACCACTCAGTCCAAATTAATGCAGCTCTTAGGCATGCCACTGAATTTCTTACACATTTTCAGCTAGATTGTAAAGAAAAACCCGTCCCATATGTGTATGCCATATTCAGGTTGTCACATACCCCAAAAGGTCTCTCTCCTTCCTGAAGTCTACATGTATTAAGTAGGAGGTAGAAGTGGAAGAGGAAATAAGACAAACACACAAATAACCTAGGTTATATAAGAAGTATCTAATAACTATATAAAGCTGATAAGCCCTGAAAACACTCTGGAGCCCAAGTAATGTATAAGCCAAAAGACGGTCATAACTGTTACCTGATTTGGGCTGTTTTAGGAGAGACAAGCCAAGTCCAGGTACTTTTATTACATAAATGAGAGGAAGTGTATAGTACAAACAACCTCTGATTGCTAATGAATGTTCTTTCAACATGGAAAGCAGCTCATTTAAAGCTGAGCAAGTTTGTTCTCCAAAGATTTCCTAATCCTTAGGATTAGGAAGTAGAATTTCTGTACATACCCTTCAAACAGAACATATATAATGCTAATAGCAATATTTTATATTTATACAATGTCTTTATAGTTTTTTTTTTTTAAGACAGGGTCTTAAGGTCAGGCTGACCTCGAACTCATAGCAATCCTCCTGCCCTAGCCTCCCAAGTGTTGGGATTTTAGGTGTGTGCCACCTAATGTTTTTGTAGTTTTCAATAAACTTTTTCAATAATTTGTTATTGCGCTCTGACCATGTGCCCAACCCTGCATTTGGCACCACTGTATACAAAAGGCCTTGAAGCTCTACTCTGCACTGCGACAGATGTTATAACAGAGGAACGCTCAAAGTGCTTTGATGGTAAATATACATCTTTACATTTTATGGATAAGAAAATGAAGGCTCCAAAGGAATAAGTGACTTGTCCAGATTTTATAGCTAGGAATGAGATGCCAGGATATAAATAGATGAACTTTCTGCTCTTAGGAACTGTCTCTTTTTAGTATATTCCTGAAGTTACAGACACACCTCCACTCCTCTATTAGCACAAGATAATGTTTTTTTTTTGTTTGTTTGTTTGTTTTTTTTTTTTTTACAAGATAATGTTTAAGATCTGTACTAAATGATCAAACCATCATTCTGCCTGTATGGTCAGAAAAGAACATGCTTGATATATTAATACTGTCTTTCTCTTCCAAATTTGTTTCCTTTATTCTAATGTTTCATAATTGAGTGACAGCGAGGGATGACTGGAAACTTTTAGAACTTTCCTTAGAATAACTGTGGAGGTCTTCTGAAGCACCTGATTCTGGAAAAAGAAGAGTGAGCTAAGAGCCTCAAAGTCAGCCAGTATTTTTAACTTAAAGACCGAGTTACTTCTTGATCGCAAAGAAAATGTCAAGCCTATCTTCTTTGCTTTCTATTTCAAGTATTTTGGCAATTCCCTTTCCTTTCCTCCCAAGTATCTTGAGAGAAATTTTGAAATAAATAAAAATGGGCTCTAAATTTTTCAAAAAGTTATTAAAGCCAGACAAGCTGGTAGCTTATCTATGTCACGGTCGCCTTGAGAAATAAGAGGTAAAAATTAACTTACTGAAATATATTTAAAGTAGAAAAGTAATTCACAGAAAGAGTATTTAAACTTAACAAGACTGACCCCATTTAGTCAAGATAATTGGTTTTCATAAAAAACTCTTGGGCAAACAGTCCACAGTAGTATAGCCTGTAGCCCACCCAGGGCCCACCCTCCACCTTTCCTCAGAAAGTCCTGCTTTTAGACACTACAGGTGCTGGACTTTCTGTTGTGTCAAATCAAAGCCAATAAAAAAAACTGGATTGACAATTTTAAGTCCATTTTACTCAGCTGGCTGACAAATGTAGTGAAGGTCCCAGAGGGTAGAAAGGGTAGAAAGCTCAAGGGTAGAAAGCTGGCCCTGGGGTCCACAATATAGTTCTTAGCATCCCTTAAATATACTACTTAAATATACTCAGGCTGGCCTTAAGCTCACTTTGTAGCCCACGCTGGCCTCAAACACACAATGATCCTCCTGCCTCATCTTCCTAGTGCTGGGATTATAGGCATGTGCCCCCATGCCTGGCTTGTATTAATAAATATTTGTTCTCAAATAATAAATACTTGTGCTCAATAAAAATTGACTGTTAGGGTAACTACTGTCCTTCATTTTCTAAATAAATTTCCCAAAAATTTCAGTTAATACATAAATTACCTGGGTATAAAGATAGGCACAGCGAAGTTAGAGAAAAGACTCCCTAGAGGGCAGATTTAAGGAATGTTCTTAAATGGACAAATATATAGTTGCTATACATGATCAAAAAAAGATGTGGCACAAGCCTAGGAAACCCAACTGCTTACAGAGAGTTGATGGTTCAGAGATGTGTTCAGTGGTTACGTATGGTTAAACACTGGTTTTGAGAACCTCATTTCCAGGTTATGATTACTGTGTTAATACAAAGAAAAGACTGGACCTAGAAACACCTGGCAATACTGCAAGGACAGACACTTGAGTGGGAAAAAAACTACAAGGTACAAATCTCATCCTCTATTGTACTCTGATTCGACTGGTTGATAAAACATATAGGTCAGAACAATTCTAGCAGATAATTTTGGGTTCCCTACTCCCATTCCCTGAATTAGAAACTCAGAAGAAAATCTTAGTGAGTAAACATTTTTTTCCCCAAGCAGCTTCATTAGAGATGCCACTAACATACTAAGGATTAGCTGTCCCTAGGACAGGTTCAGAATTCAAAAAATTGCAGTCAGCAGAGAGAAGCTGGGGTAAAGAAAAGGTAGGATGTTGTGACCTCCTAGGCTTAAGATAGGAAGTAAGAATCCTAACTCCAGTTCTGGAGCTAAATTTCTTTATGACCATGAGAAAGTATGGTTAGTTTTCTGGGATGCCAGTGCTACTGAGGTTATGGTATCTGTGCTTACATTGAAACTAGTTCCTTAGCTTAGAAAACTAACCCTTGAAATCTAGAGACAGAAATTTCAGTGTTACTAAAAAATGATATTTAGGTTAAGTTTGGTTGAAACTATCATGTAAACGTATCTTTCAGAAATACACAAATTACAATTAGAATATATAACACTTTGTAACTTGAAACATCCCTTAAACCTTAAAACATACTCATAAGACAAAAATTTCTGCCAGTTGTATAGTGCTCAGGGTAGGCACTATTATGGTTATTGCAAGCCCTTCATGAATATGTAATTTAGTTCAAAGAGTCACAAAGTTTTTCTAAAACTTCAAAATGGTAATACTCATTAATGGCATTTGAAGCTTTTTCCCTTGAAACACAAACAAACATAGCTAAAGATAGGAGAGAAATCTTTTTTTTTTCTTGCTATGTAGTGTAGGCTGGCTTTGAACTCACTATTAACCCAGACTGTCTTTGAGGCACTCCTCCTGCCTCAGCCTCCTATATGTTAGAATTACAGGTATGTACCATCACATCCAGCTTGAGAAATCTACTAGTTTTTGTACTTTGCTTGAATGCTAATATGCATAAAACCAGCTCTTCCAGTACTTTTACTAGACTTCTCTTAGACTACTGACCCACGCTGACAGTAATGAAATCTGTGAGCACTTGAACAAATGTGTGTAGGCTTGAACAGCCACTGTAAACAGTGATGCACTACAGTGGCTGTTACAAACTTGGGCCTGGACGATGGGCAAGAGGGCATCTATAAACAAATCTCAACTTTGCACACTTAGTCACTGAATATGTCACTCAATCCTTTTAAGCCTTTTTTTCCCCTGTCTTTTTGAGACAGAAGCTCACTATGTAGCCCAGGCTTGCCTTGGAACTTGCAGCAATCCTCCTGCCTCAGTTTCCCAAGTACTGGGATTATAGAAACGTGCTACCACACCTGGCAACCTTATGTTTTTTTAGAATACAAAATTATAAAAAATAATACTTATTTCACCATTTTGGGAATAAAATGATTAGTTGTGACTTGGCACATAATAGGCATTCCACATACATTGACTCTGACTATTACTATTATTAGGCTCATTACTATGTCCTATGTGGTGTTTAAGTGGAAATCATTTGACAGGCCTACATTCTTTTGCAACTAGGCCAGTGAGGTGTAAGCAAACAGCCCAGTGTTGCCATTGTCACAGGTGGAGGTTAACCAAAGCTCTAGGTTCCCGAAGCACTTCCCTTGAGCACTCTGAAAGTTGAATAGAACGTCATTATTTCAGACGCTAAGTCAGTGTGGAGGGCATGCCTATAATCCTAGCACTAGGGATCCCAGGAGAATTGCCACAAGTTCAAGGCCAGCCTGAACTATATAGGGAGATGCTATCTCCGATACTACTGTCCTAGTGAGCACTGTCTTTGCTTATGGGTTTAAAACAAATAATTGTTACACCATTGAAGCTAATAGTTGAGAATAAGGATAAAAATGCTGAAAAGAATGTATAATTTGGGCCGGGGATATAGCTCAGTGGCACAGCACCTGCCTGGCAAGCACAAGGTCTTGAGTTTGATTCCTGGTACAAAAACAAAACAAAATAGGTCAAAATAATGTATAATTGCTCCACTAGAGAAGGCAAAACTCTTAATTCAGCCTGATGCAATTTGTCCTGGAATATGGAAAAAAAAGAATCCAAGATTAAGCTTTGAAAAGGGTGACTACTTACTTGTTCTAAATTTTTCCTTGAGGGCATCCAGATCCTCCTTGAGAGCAATTTGCATCCACACCAAGCCAACACAGGCCACAACACAGGCCGCAAGGATGACAAAAGCACAGAGGGGATAACAGATCTTGCAGCATCGTAAATAGTCTCCCCTATAAAAAGAACAAATCCAACCATCAGTATGAAAGTAATTATGAGTACAGTTTTGCCATGTAGTTATCTTCTCTAATGAATGACCAGTAGATTTACCATGGCAAATAGGATAATGCGCTTACATCTAAATAGTAAAAGATTAAGTAAATACGTAATATGATCTATGAAAAGTCCTATTCGGTACAAAGGTTTTAAACTTCATAAGAAACTTCAGAAGAGGTCCTGTGGGCCATAGGAAACACTTTTGAGCTCTGCAGACCACCACCTTCAGCATCAACTCAGGAAGGAGGCCTTCAGAGACAAGCTCAGTTGGAAAAGTGTAAAAGCTAGCAGTTTTCTGCAATTCCATCACTGCACTGTAATTTACCTATTTTTCTCTTTCAAAACATGCTTTCTTAGTTATTGAAACTTCACAAACTTTTGAGCAAGAGAAAATGTAATGAGAGAAACAGAATCTGTAAGTTTTAGAGAACTTCTGGTTCCCCATTGTTCAGTGATGCTGAACCTTTTAGAGCTTTCAATGACAACAAACAGCCGGCTGGGGCATGCGTATCATAGGTTCTCCACCACTGCTGTAGTTTACTGACTCCGAAGGAAGGAAATAGAAACAGGTGAGATTTCCCACTCAACTCATCCAGCCTTCAGTGTCTAACCCAAGAGGGTATATATTTCAGAATTAACACTTCAAACCTTCATCCACCACACACAAAATTAGCCTTACATACTTAATGTGGCAAAGTTCACCAGAAACCAAACTTTAACTAAAAGGATACAGACACTCTAAACAAACAACAAAGATCCAATCTCTTTTAGCACCACAACCTTCTGCTAGTCCTTGCTTCCATCAAGGACACTTTCAAGGTTGCCTTTAGCTCTTCTCCAACCTGAACCCTGATTACCAACATCATCGAAAAATGGTCTGTGAAAAAGTTGCGTTTTTACTCTCACTCCCGAGCTACTCTCAAGGCTCATACTTTCTACAGTATGTCCCTCATCATATTCCCCCATCGCCAAGATTCAGATTTATTAAAAGCACAAAAAATAATTAACAATCTTAAGGTCTCTGGCCTTCCTCCTCTTTTTTTTTTTTTTTTTAAAGGCCTAGTCCCGAAAACTTCTCTGCCCCACTGTCTTTGTTCTTAACTTCTTTCTGATGCCCTGGGCCCCTGATACATTACCTGCACCCATATCTCTACTCTAGATCTAGAGCTGTCCTTTTTACACCTAAAGACTGTCCTCTAATTTACCCTTCATTCAGGATGTGTACTCGCCTCTCTTGACACTTTTCTCCCTGTTTGCCTTTCAAGGTCTACTTCCTTCTCTTCCTAGCACGCCTTTCTCCTTCCCATCCGTTCTCCTTAGCAGTACAAGGAAATCGCTTTTACTCATCCCAGCCCTTGCCACTGCATCACTTACTTGACAAAACGTGAGCGATTTCCAACTCCATCAAATTCCTCTTCCTCCTCTGAGCTGGACTCGGAGTCTGAGTCAGGAGGCTCAGTTCGAAGCAGGCGGTGGCTGCTGGAGTTTTTCTTGGGCTTCTTTCTCCGGCTGTCTCCACCCAAACCGATCAAGGCATTGAGCTCTTTTCGCTTTTTCATCTTCTTGTGTGGCGTTAGTGGAGCGCCCACTCCTGAGCTGCCAGGTTCGTACCCGACGCCCAGTTCTCTTGCTGCCTTGGAGCTGCCTTCCAGGGTGGGAAATCCTGGGCCAGAGCCCCCGCGGCCACTCCCACCCGCGGGTGGGACTGACCAGATCCGCTGGGAGCTGGAGACGGGAGCCCAGAGGAAACTGGAGCTCAGATGAGTGGGGGAAGTCACATAGAGATCGCCAAGGAGTTGGCGATTGAAACGGATAAAGCCCTGGGCATGGAGTGTCAGCTAAGAGTGTAGAAAGGGTAAAAGAGCACAAAAAAGCTAAGCGAGGAACGAAAGGTTCGGAGCTTTGTTAAGTTCAACAATATTTTCAACAGTGATCTAGAAGCTAGGGAGCGCACAGGATACGTACTTTGGACCTCTGGGACAGGATTTTCAACAACAACAAAAAAGAAACTTATTCTTGAATGGGAGAAGGGAGAGCAATGAAGAGTAAGACAGAGGTGGCAGCGGTGTGTGTCGCCTAGCCGCTACAACCCGGACACTGCCGGCGTGGAGAAAATGCCCGGGCTAGGAAGCCAGTTGGGGTTAGGGATGATCACCGTTCTCTGGCTTCCGTCCTGAGTTTGAAGGAGCTCGGCTCGGAGGTCTCGGCCTGAGACGAGCCGGTCCCGCTCCTGGGAGACCCCAGCCCTGCAGTCCGGGCCTGGGGGGGGGCGGTTGCTGAAGGGGCGATTGCCACTCTGCCCTCCTCAAGCGTTCCCTCTGAGTTTGAGGTGTCTGGAAGGGCGACTTCGGCAACTCACATACGCAGCTTCCACTGCAGCTGCGATTCCGGGCCCTACTCCGGCTCTGGCCGCTCCCGACGAGCTGGTGGCGGCGGCGGCCGCGGGCTCCAGACCCGGGCCATCGCTCCGGCCACTGCTCACTTCCCCTTTGGCAGCTGCCGCCGGCGCCGCCTGTCAGTAAGACGCGGCCCTATTGGTGGCCCACTGGATGACGTCACGGTAGAGGGCGCGAGTGGTGGCGGGAGGCGGGGCGTTAAAGGGGCCCGGCTCTGGAGAGGGCTGCGTCTGGCCGGTGGTGAGGGACGCCCCGCCCCCCTCGCCTGCTCCGGGGCAGGGTTTTGTTTACCGAGGAACCGGGTCAGGTGAAGCACCGAGCCTCTCGACCTGCTGGAAAAGTTCTTGGGCTGTCCAGGCCTAGAGTTGTGAACTGGACTAACCCAGCCTAGAGGCTCCACCCCTCTGACTCCCGGGCTGTTTATTAAAAGTTTAGGCGCGTTTCAGATTAATGACCCGGTTGACCGCATTCAGTCATTCAACACATGTTTACTGAGGGCAACATTCCAGGAACTGCTCTTGTGCTAGGGATAGAGCACTAAGCAAAATAACCACTGACCTTGCCTTCCAGAATAGGGTTGTTAGATTTAGCAAGTAAAAATACAGGACACCTAGTAGTTTGAATTTTAGGTAAACAGTGAAATTTTAAAAATATAAATAAATCGCATGCAACATCTGGGACATCCTCCCACTGAAAAGTGACTTGTTTACCCGAATCTCAAATTCAACTGGGAATCCTGCTTTTATCTGCCCATTGATTCCGACAGTTTACACTCTAGTGGGAGGAGAGCAACAACCAACAAATATATTCAATGTCAAGAGGAGATGAGTGTTATGAGGAAAACTGAAACGTGATAAGGTTGATGAGGAGTGCCTCTGTGATCGGAGGACCTTTGGTCAGAAGTCCCGAGGAACCCAGGGAGTGAGCTTCACAATGAGTGCAGGCAAGAGTGACCCGGAAGACCTGCTATGGTTGGACCTGAAAAGCAAGAAGAGCGGAGGAAAAGAGGTCAGAGGAGGCATCGAGGATCAGACCTTGTAGGGCCTCATGTAAAGGCTTTGGGAACGGCTGTAAATTGAGAGGAGACATACTGTGGCTTTTCAGTTTTTAAAAAGATCGCTCTGGCTACTGTGTAGAAAAAAAAAATCAAGGAGAGCCAGAGACCCAGGAGACCAGTGTGCCCTAGTCCAGGCAGAGATGACAGGTGAGGGTGGAAGCGGTAGGGATGGTGGGCATTCTGGATGTTTCTTGAAGACAGAGATAGAGATAACATTTGCTAATCGTTTAGATGAAAAACATGACAGTAAAAGGAGCCATGGTGACTCTACAATAGAACAGCTTGGAGTGGAACAACTGGAAGAAGAGCATTGGCATTTACGAGGAGGGGGAAGGTTTGGGGCAAGCTTGAGAAGCCAGTTTGACGTTCAAATAGAGATGTCCAGTAGGCTTCTTAGTATAGCCATCGGAAGTTCTGGGAGATTAGGGCTTGAAATACACTATAAATTAAAGAGTCATCAGACATAAATGGTATTTAAAGCAAAGTGCTTTCACTTGCTTGGAAGAAAGTCACTTAAAGTAATTTTTATACCCACATTCTTACTGTGGCAATTACATTGCCTTTGTCTCGGGATTCCCACCCAAATCCTAGGCCTATGTCTGATTGTCTCTGACTGTGTAGCACAGAGGTAGGCACCTAACAACAGTGATCCAATAAATATGTGATGATTACACAAATGGGCAGTGCCACATAGAGATGTGGGTGGAGTTTTGGAATCAAGAGATTGGGGATTAAGTCATGCCGCTAACACTAGCTGTCAATATGGAAGCCATTTAACTTTTCTGGGGCTCAGTTTTCCCCCACGTAAAATGAGGATAATCACCTGTTTCACAGGACAATAAGAAGATGATTGTGTTAGTGCTTTTAAAGTCCCAGATCGTGGTGCAGATGTTCCGTTTTTATTGTCCTTGTTTGTTTTTAGAGCTGTTCTGCCCACATACAGTAGCCACTAGTCACATGGGGAATCTAAATGTACATTTAACTTAAGATAAAATAAAAGCATTTAAGTTGGTTCCCTTAGTATCAGTGGCCACTGTGCTCAGTAGCTATGTACAAGTCCATCATCAAAGAAAGTTTTATTGGATAGTTCAGTGCTAGTACTTCCCTGAAGGGTTGGGAATGGACAGGCGAGGCTCTAGACTTCCAGAACCATTTCAGAGACTCACCCTGTGGCCACCAGAATCTTCAAGAAGAAGGATGGTTCACCAGCGAATGACCCTTTTGTGTTTTAGATGCTGCATCCTTACAAAGGTAACAGGGACTGAGGAACCCAGGACCACCCAGCTGCAATGACTTCTGATTAACCTGACTTCCCTCTCTTCAGGTAGTGACCTCCTTCAGGACAGGCTAGTGGGCTGCGCATGAGTGGAGAGGCTGGTGCTTCTGCTGGGACTCTCTGTCCATCTGTATGTTTGTTCCTCTGTCTGCCTGCTTATTTATGCACTGGAGATTATACCTCTCTTATGCTTGGTAAACATCCCCACATGCTGAGTCACCCTTTCAACACTGCTGACCTGGTATTTCTTTTCTTTCAGGAGCTGATGGATAGCTCTCTGGCCTCCCCACTTGGACCTGGGAGCCTCAAGGCATGGGATCCAACCAGATCCCTCAGAGCTAGAGCTCCTGCCCTGAGAGGCCCGTGCTACCCTCCCACAGCAGGACTTCCCAAAGTGGCAATCCAGCTTTTCCTTTGCGGGCATTCATATCCCCATGACTGGGCCTGTGGGGCCCTGTTAACCTATTCAAAACCTGCTTGAAAGCAATGTGCATCACTTTTACAATTCTCATGCTTTAACATTCTTGTCTGTAAAATGGGGATAAAAGCATCCCTGCCCAGCCTTCTGCTCAGTGTCGTCTGGGTGAGGCAGCAGCGTGAAATTACTTTGTATGCCACTGAAGTGTCGTGCAGGGTGGGTGGCTATCTTATGCTAAATGCATCCGGCAGCTCTAGGAAAGGTGGGGGTGCAAAGGTGATCCCTTTGTGCTTGTATAAATGACACAGCCAAATCTTGGAGCCTATGCTATTTTGGAAAACTCTACAGAGCATTTTCACTTGGGGAAAAGGAGACACAGACCGAGTGGGCAGCTTTCCTACAGTCATGGTCTGAAGTTAGACAGAGATCTCCTAATTCCTGGGCTGAGGCTCTTTAAGACCTCGGAGTCTTCTGTCTTCATGGGTTTAAGTCTCTATCATCGATCTTGGGCAAATTACTGAGCCTCGTTGTCCACTTTTGTGAAGTGGTGGTAATAATAGTACCTGAACTGGCTGCATAATTTATGGGGGCCAGTGAAAATGAGAATGCAGGAGCTCTTGTTTAAAAAGCAGGAAAAAAGCCTTTTACCTTTCTTCTGTCACTTTTTACAACCTATCGTGTTACTTTAAACAAATTTTTGTCAGTACATTTGCAGTACATCATGACGACATTCATCATGAGGAGCTGGTCCTTGTACATAACACATCTTAATTTTTTTAATCCCCTTTACCTCCCTTCCCTCCATCTCTTGGTCCCCTTTCCATTTGCTGAAAGATCTCCTTGTTTCCTATTATCTATCTTTTATTCTGATTTTAACTTACTTACACTTCGGGTATCTCACATAAGAGAAACCATGTGATATTTTGTGTGTCTGACTTATTTCACTTAACATTATGATCTCAAGGTGCATCCATTTTCTTACAAATGATCAAGTTTTCTTTCTTTATGACGGAGTAGTACTCCATTGTGTATAAATACCTCATTTTCTTTATCCATTCATTTGTTGATGGACATACAGATCCCTTTCAAGATTTAGCTACTATGCTGTTTATTTTTCACTACTTAGTGTTGTATTCCCTTGGGCCTGGTGATACAAGGTGAGTGCAAAGTGTTGCAAGGGTATAGGACTGTGCGCCATGACTTGGCATGCACAGCTTCCTTTCTTCTCCCTGTGCCTGCATCCAGGCCCATGGAATTGGAGGGCCTGGGTAGGGGTAGGGGCTGGCTAGTAGAGAGGGAACAGGCAGTCAAGAATCCATGTCAGGGAAGGGAGAGAGGGGGGCAGGACTGTGTGTGAATGGAGGCTGAAATCCTCAGTGTGTTCTCCTTCTTCCACCAGACTTCACACACAGAACAAAACTCAAAGGTACTGCACCATGTTATGAATTTCAAGAGGGCCCACACAGCACTAAACCCAAGCGTGGAGCCCCTTCTGAGAGGGGACTGTGCACACCTGCACTCGTCACACACTCATCCAAGCCTTAATCAGACCTAGTGCACAGAGTACTTGCAAAGAAATAATATGCCTGACGCATAGTAAGTACTCAATAAATGCCAGCTGTTCTATTAATGTGATTATAAATTATTAACTATGCTTTATTATAGATTTACAGTGTGGTTTTGATGATGCCTCAATTGTGGGGATACATCTCCATTTACCTAACAGAAAGTGTGCTTTGGCCGGGCGTGGTGGTGCACGCCTGTAATCCCAGTACTCGGAAGGCTGAGGCAGGAGGATCGTTGCAAGTTCGAGGCCAGCCTGGGCTACAAAGTGAG